CCCCCCCCCCCCCCCCCAGCTGCATCCCCGGAGAGGCGGCCCGCACCATCCAGGCCGGGTCTTTGTTGCTCTTGAACTTGACCCTGTGCTCCAGGCAGCGTGGATACCGGTATGTGGAGTTCCACTCCAGCAGCAGCTGGTGGTTGTCCAGCTCTCGCAGGGTGAGGTTGACGGGTGGGTTTGGCTTCACTGGAAGAGAGATTGCAAAGGGGCTGAGCGGGGCTGAGCAGTGGCACTCCCCACAGGGGTCCAGAAGGGCGAGCGGCCGGTTCGAACCCCCGCGCTGGCTCTAGGGGTTTTCGCCAGCTCAGAGCGGCCCTTTCGTGGAGCAGACAGCTCTTCGCCGCCCACGTGTGAGGGAAGCACTGCAAAACACTTTGCCGTCAGCGCGAAAATTCGTTTCTCCATCGCCCTCCTGCTACAGAGGGGGCTGCCAGTCAGTCCAAAGGGAAGAGGACTCAGAAGGGGGGGCAGATCAGGCAGGACCCCTGCTAATGAGGGAGAGCTGGCGTGGGTCCTGGAGAGACCTGCCCGCTGCACCAGTGGGCTTGCAGCCCGGCAGCCTCTCCCACCCACACCTTCCTGACGCTCCATGGCAGAACAGTTCTGCATCGGACCCTCAGCACGTGAGCCCCGACACACCCCACCGGGGGCCGCCGGGCAGTGGTGCTGGGCTGGGGAGCAGGCCTGGCCTCACGCCGTTCTCGGAGGCAGCGAGGAGACGTCTGGGGTGAGCGACTTCTGCGTGGGGGAACCTCCCCCAAGACAGAACTGCAAGCAGCCAGTCTCCAGCACTGCCCCCCCGCCCCACGCACCAGTGTTCAGACCCCCAGCCAAGAGGGCCAATGAAAGGCCATGCATTCAGCACCCCGCTCTGCCTGGGGTCTGCAACATAGCACCCGGGGGGCCACCGTTTCCCCTCCCCCGGCACCCACCAACTTCTCTGCTCCATCTGACTTGCATGCCCTTTTAAAAGAAGTGTTGGTGATGTAAAAGAGCATGACGGGGGGCTGGACTGTTGCCCAGCCATGGGTAGCCCTTCCCTTGCCCTCTTTATTTGGTATCTGAAGCTGGTTTTGCGCTTTGGAGCTCAAATGTTGCTTTTGCTTTTTATTTATAGATTTAACTTTTATACTGCCCGATAGCCCAAGCCCACTGGGCGGTTTGGAACAAATGTTGCAGCTGGAGCCGCTTGCATCCTTTCATCTGCACCAGAATTTTGCAACTGTAAAGAAAGGGCTCAGCCGAGACGAGAGAGGGACACGCGGGAGCCACTTGGGCTCAGGGGAAGAGTCGCTTCCTTCGGGAACGCGGGGCAAAGAATTCCCCCGCCAGCTGTGGAGGCTCTGCTTTCCTGCAACCGGCCAAAAGCGGAATCGAGTCAAGGCTTCACATCCCCGAGCAGCGTGCTCTGTTGTTCTCAGTGACCCTTCCGCCGGCCTCGACCCGACGGCTCCGCTCGGCTCGGGAGACATCAGAGAAGGACCTGCGCCCCGCAGTGGTCCCTCACGTGGTCATTAAAAGGGCCCTCTTTGAAAGCGCTGCAAGCGCAGCCAAGGAATCGCTCCTGAAATGTCTCTAACGGGCAGCTTCCGTTCCCTGGTGGATGGGAATTCAGCGACTGGCCTCTTTTACTTCTTGTTTTTAAATAGCATTAATTCACTAAAAAAGGAGGAAAATCTAGGGATACAGGAATTCCATGCACGTCCTACCCCTGCTGGGACAAAGGCTGACTAATTAGCAGTTATCCCCCAGCCATGCTGAATAGGAAACAATAAAAGGGGCAGAACCTGCCAAGAAGAAACTTTCAATTAAATGCACAATAGACTTTAAAGCCTCGGTGTGGCTTTAATTGCACCAAATCTGGCCTGGGGTTAACACAGAAAGCGCCATGCTGAGCTCAGTGATGCCACTGATAAAAACGTAGTGGGAATTCCCGATCAAAGGGGAGCAATCGAGGCCTGGCAGTTGCAGAGAAGAGGGCTACCCGTGTCTTTGCTGCAGTGGCCAGTCCCCAGACTCTGGGCAGGCGTGTTTCATCGGTGCCCCATGTGTTACCAGGGGGCATTTGCCAACCTTGGCATTGGTCACTGTGGGAGCCAGCCTTTCAGACGGCAGAGATCTGGTCTGGCTGCCCCTGGGAAGGCCCTGCCCCTTCGTTTTTGCCCCGAGTCCTCTAATGCGTGGGTCCTCAAACTACGGCCTGTGGGATGGATCCGACCCACCATGGCCATCCATCCGGCCCTCGTGCGTGCTTGCAGCACGGGCGGGGAGGTGGCGGCTCGCTCGCTCGCTCGCTCGGAGATGGTTTTGGACTTGCTGGGAGATCTCCGAGCGAGCGAGTGAGCCACCGCCGCGCACGCCCAGTGCCGCCGCGCGCGCGCCCCCAGGCACCCGCACCTCACCGGCCCACGATGGTCACCGCAGCCTTCCAACTGGCCCCCGTTCAAAAGGCTTGAGGACCCCTGTTCTAACGCTGCAGCCATTGCCTGAGACCTGCCGAACGAGTCAAACCAAGGGAATGGGCGCAGAGCGGGCGTCATGAAGGAAGTCGGGTCAGGAGGTGCTCTGAATCGGAACCGCTGGGGTTTTCCCATGCCAGGTGAGCTGCAGCTTTTGCCATGGTCCCCGCAGAGCAGGAAGGGGTCAGATCGCGGCCCTCTTGACCCGAGGGGTTCCCACCCGTGAAGGCGCAGCCCGTACCGTGGTTCAGCAGTTGTATGGGTTCGGTGGGAATGACGTCGTCCTGGCTGGCATTGACACGAATGTTGAAGTCCAGGTAAATGTTAATGTCACTTATCCGGCATCCCACGTTGACTCCGTCTTTCTGCAGGTAATTCTTGCACTCCTTCATGGGCTCGTTGCTGTTTGTGTACCTAAGCAAAACAACCCGCACCTGGCTGAACCCTTCGCCGGCCGGGAAGCTGGGCCTCTGCACCCAGCCGGACAGCCCCCTGGGGAAGAGATGCCGAAGCGGCCAGCAGGGGCAACCTCTCTCGGCCCAGAGAGCCTTCCGCAAGAGGACACGCTGCGCTCCCATGCTGCCCTGGGAGGAAGTTGGCCTCTCTGAGGAAGGACGCGGTCCTTCTTCTGTCGCCTTTGGCGACTGGAACAGCTGCCCCCTGCCGCCGCCCCCTTTCCCTGGCCCTCGTTCCCCCCAGGGCAGCCCAGCTCCCCTTGCCCAGGTGGATCCCCGCTCTGCCGCCAGTCAGGTCTCCCCACGGAACGTGGCCCGGCAGGCCAAGCCGGGGCGGGGGGGCGGGTTGTCTGGCGCTGGCAGCGAGGGGCAGAGAGTGTGCCCAGCGGGCGGGGGGCAGGGTAGGGCATGCCTACCAGTAGTACAGCGAGTGGTTGGCGGCTGGCCTTTGCTTGCTGCCCCAGTCGCAGATCAAGTAGTCCATGTTGTAGACGATGCACTCCACTGCAGGATTCAAGAGGAGGCACACGCCACTGTGAACCTGAGCGGGGCCGGCAGTGCCGTCCAGCGCACACGCCCCCCCCGGCTCGCCCCTCCACACTCCACCCTGAGCCCTGGTGCCACGCCATCAGGAGCGCGACTGGCCTGCCGCACACGCAGCCCACCTTCCTGTGTTGCAGCCCCTCTAGCCCCAGGAGGGGTCCCTGCCGCCCGGGAGAAGGCCAAGGATGCCGCGCATGGGGAGGACTCGGCTCCGCGCCCAAGACTGGCCTTGCTCAGGGGGGATGTGGCGCCAGGCGAGGCCTGTGCCTGCCCGGCCTTTGCTGGCCACCCGCTCCGAGCGGGCGGCATTTCATCAGCCATCTCTGTCAGAACACACGCCCGACGACAGCGGCCTGTTGGGAGCACGCTGAAACCTCCCCAGTGGGCACCCTGTTTCTGCCGTGCCATCGCTACCCATGACGTTTTGTCTTGCATCGTCTCACGGAGGCCCGGATCGCTCTGGGGACGAAGCCAGTGGGCACAACGTCACAGAGAGGCCCCTGCGTCTTGCTTTCTGCGCCTTTCCTTGGTGGCGACAGTGGCTAGCTCTTGTGAGCTCCAAGAAAAAAGTTAGGGATTGACAGATTTAAGGAATACAACACCCAAACTGGCCCGCGACCTCTTCAGCGTTGGGGTTAAGAGAAAACCTGCCCGGCTCATGGCATGTGGCTCCGTTTGGGTGCTTTCCTTCGCAAGGAAGGGTGTGAGTCTCTTTGGGGATGCACTGAAGGACATGTCCAGAAATGGGGAGACTGAGTCCTGCCCACCTGAGGGATGCGTCTTCTGAGGGAGACCTGCATTCCCTGGAGCTGGAGATTCCCAAGGAACTGTGCCTGTCAAGGGCCCCTGCGGCAGAGCAGGGATTCCCGGTGCTTTGGGCAGAAGGCCCTCGCCCTTCCCCAGAATGCCCCCTTGCAGAAGACGCCCGACACAGACGCCCCGGGGAGTGCAGGGGCCTCAGCGCACGGCCTTGGCCGAGGCTCTGCCGCAGAGGGACCCCGAGAAGCAGGGTGTCCTCCGCAAGGGCAGCCACGGTGCCAGGCTGTGCCCCTGCCGGAGCGCCACTCAAATGAAGCCACGGACTGGAGCTCCCAGGCTGGCTGGGCGGTGAAGGCTCCAGCTCAGCACCTTCCCCTTCAGGCACGAGGCACTGATGCGGGGAGGGGGGGCTGTCCCCATCACCCCAGCCCTGCCCCTGGCCACGGGTCGCCTGCTAGCCTTGTCTGGCGTCACCGGCCCTGGGTAAATCCTCCTTTGTGCTCGGAGGCAGGCCAGCCGGGGCCGAGCTTTCCCTGCCCCCTGCCCTCCGGACGCAGAGGGCACCGAGGGAAGGTTACCTTGCACCTGTGTGCTGTCCGCAGCATATCCGCCTGGAATACCCAGGAATATCAGGGGGAGGACGAGCAACATCCCTGCGTTGCTGGAAGCGTCCGCCATCCTCCTCAGCCCAGCCGGCCAACGGGACAAGATCGCTGCGCCTCCGAGTGCCGTCTGCTGAGAGCAAGGCTGCACAAGGGGATGTGGGCTTGACGTCAGTCCTGCTCTCGCTCTGTGATATTCAACTTCCGCCAGCTGTGGTTTCCTGTGGAAAATCCCCTGCTCCCCACACGACACACAGTCCTAGGTGGGGGCAAGAGGTGCAAGTTTCCCGGAAAGGGCCTTGAAGGAATTAGCTGTGCATGGAGAAACAGGTTTCAGCTGGAGCCACGAGGCCCCTTCCTGAAGGCCAGTGCTTCGGCTGAGAGAGCAGGGCAGCTGCACCCACGGCCCGCGAATCCGGGGCGAGAGGAGCGCCCGAGCATGAGTTCTGCCTTCGCCGTGTGCGGGCACGTGCCCTCCCGGTCGCCCCTGGCCCTGGGGAGCCTGCCGCCTGAAAGCCAGCCTTGGCCTTGGCAGCCTGGAGAGGCCCCAAGGTCCAGCTCAGCCAGGCGGCTCATGCCTCCCAAAAGAACCTTCCGGCCACGGGAGAATCCTTGGGCGGAAGGAAAAGACCTCAGGCTTGCTGAAGATGTCCAGCTATTTGGGGGGTCAGAACAAAGTGGGGGGACGAGTGACAAGACAGCAATTGTGTTTCCGTATAAGCAAGGCTTGGGGCAAAAATCCCAACTTTACAGATACGGCAACGGGGTCTGACCGAGCTGTGGCTGAGGAAGGGGCTGGACCCACAAATGGCAATGGCGTCAGACTGAGTGATTTAGCATGTGGCTTGTCATACATGGACTTGTGATACATATTAGCATTTAAACTAAGTTAAAACACGTTAAACATGTAAGTGTGAGCAAGATCTCTGGTCAAACATTCATGTCTAGGCCATGTAACCAATGAAGCGCAGCACTGTTTGTGCGGAAAAAGTCAGACGCTGGGCTGGAGGTGCCCTCCGTTTCCAGCCAGTCACAATATGTGCAGCTTGAGGTGGAACCGCTGTCGCACTGGGGTGGGAGCCGTGCCCCATTTGTGCACACGCCGTGTGAGCTGCAAATCCAGTTCGGAGCTGCCCAGTACTGGCAGGAGAAGTCAAAACCTGGCACTGCCTGCATGGGGTCATCCCAAGGCCACCCATTTCTGGCTGTTCAACAGCCCGTTGAGCATCCCATTGGGAATGGGGGTCAAAGTTATTTTGCAGACAGTGTGCGAATGCCGGGGGAGTTCCTGGATCTGAGCGTGCCCACTGACAGATAGCAGAGGGCAGCATGCGCTGGTCGGTGCGGATCACACACGATGCTCCTGCGTTCTCTTGTCTTCGTAGAACTGGTGGCGCTTTATGGCTCAGAACAGGAAGCCAGCAAGTAGGAGTGGATTCGAAACATCCGCTTCTGATTCTCGTGGTGGTGTTGATCTGGCATCGCTCTTGCTAGCATGGCAGCTGCTGAGCCCTACGGGGGCACAGTGTGCTGCTGTGGAGCAGACCGGCCGTGGGGCTGCTGTTCTGAGGGCGGTGGCTGAGGCGCCCCATTGTGTTCCGCTTGTTTCTGAAGTATTCCTGGTACTGCTGTTTGCAGCTGTGCTCTCTAAATGCGTCGTGCAGGAGAAGGTCCGTCCCAGTGTTACACTGAGGCATTTTGGATGGGGATTTTAGTGGGGTGAGTTTTTTAGGTAGTCCTTCAGAGCTGCACTTGCTAGTTGATTGTTGAGGCAGAAGCACATGGGCGCCATTTTGCTAACACCAAGAGGCAGCCTCCATTCAGCGAAGAATTTTCTCCGGATTTTAAGATCTTCAGAGGGGAGGCTACCTGCCTCCTCCATGTTTTTATCCTCCACTGCTAAGGCAAGACCTTTGGCGTATCCAACTTTATGTCCCCTTGTATTCAGAAAAACGGATTTTGCCATCCTGCCCCACTGCCCTGCCACAAACACATCAAAAGACGCCTCTGGGTCTGGTAGTGAGGATCAAACAACCCACTTCATCAGTGGGTAACTCTCAAATGTAATCTCTGTATTTTATGGACTTGCCAAACTGTCTTCCTAACCCTGTAAGTTCACCTTTCTGTTTACTTAACTTGGCCAGCCTGTTCAAGGTAACTTTAATTTAGAAGGCCTGTCAAAGGCATCTAATTAGAGTGGAATGTAACTTTTCTTTATGGCACTGTGACGTGTATCCAGTCGCTTTCCTATCCAAATCATCCTCCTGAGTATTGTATTCCCTCCCCTTTTGCGCATTCTGTGTAACCCCAAGGGAACTAGCATTGGGTCTCTGTCTTCGGCACCCATGGATCCATGCATTGAATTGTGAATAAACCTCATCTCCCTCGCAAGAAACTGACCATCTGAGCCTGAATTGCGGATTGGTGTGACGGCTTTCTGGTGGAGAAGGCGGGCAGAAGGAACAGCGAATCCTTCCTTTGACCCTGGTGTCACAGCCGGACAGGCAAATGGTCGGGGAGAAGCTGTGTTTCTGCATAAGTGATGGTGAAGCAGGACCCCTTGGATCCTCCCTGGCCGGCACATGCTCTTTTTAGCCTCGAGGATCTTTGGGTATCCTGTGAAAGGAGGCCTTCAGCTCCTGCAGGGCAACGGTTTCTGGTAGGCAATTGCCCTGGAGAACAACTCCGTCGATGGGACACTCCAAGAATGTGAGTATCTGGCCTGGCCTGGTGGGAGTGATTGTCTGTGGTGTGTCCCTCATTTATTCCCGGGGGCTCCCAGTCGGTGCGGCTGCGTGACTGATTCTCACGCAGCCGCACCGATCCTCAGGAAAGCCCCGAAGGGTCGAAGGCAAGGGCGTGAGGGTGGACTGAGAACCCAGCCTCGCAGCGATGGTTGTACTGTGTGCCCGAAGTGTGCTTGGAGGCCAGGGGAGAGGAACCGGTTCTGATCCGTGCTGTATTATCTCATCCAGCACTTGGCGACGGCCGGCGAATCGGGCGGGTGGCTCAAGCTGTAAGTGGCCACTCGCTGCCGATGGAGACTGAACGCCGCCGTCGCAGTGTGTTCTGGAAGACTGGGATGTGGGAGGGAAAGGAATGAGTAAGGGATTTTTGACCCCACTCTGCACATTTGAATGGCCTCAACACAGAGATCAGGGTATCGATCCATGGCCGTGTACCAGGTCATTTGACTGCACCTTCATCCTAAATTGGCACGCCTGGATGATTGATGTTGGCAAATTTTCTGAGGCAAATTATATGGAGGTGTTTTGCTTTGCCACTTCTATATATCCGCATTCCATTCCGTGCTGACTAAAGGATTATAACTTTGACAGCAAAGCAGACCAAATCACAGAGCAGGGACACACTGAAACAGGAACCCTTTTGCTCTCAGAAATAACACTCCCACGAGAGCTTCCCCCATCATGCTCTGTTGGACTTGGCCAAAATAAAGGAAATGTCTGGAGGTTTCTTCAGGCAGCCTCAACAGCCTGCTTGAGCTGACTTTTTCAGACCACTGAAACCTTCATAGGGGGAAGTCAAAGTTGTTGTTGTTGTTGTTGTTGTTGTTGTTGTTGTTGTTATTATTATTATTATTATTATTATTAAACACTTCTATGCCGCCCCTTGCCAAAGCCTCGGGGCGGCTTACGACACAATAAAATACATTGAGATACAATAGAGCATAATAAATTACCAGAAAATACAAAAATACCAAAACATACATTGAGTCACAAACATCATAATATAAAATTAAAATTATCAGTATAAAATAAGTAAATAAATAATATAGGAGGGGAAAAGAGAAGGAAGAAGAAGTTGCCCTGGCCAGTTCATATATTTTAACAGTTAAAATGATGTTTAAATAAAAAGGTCTTTACCTGGCGCCGAAAAACCAGTAATGACGGTGCCAGGCGGACCTCTTTGGGGAGTGAGTTCCATAGGTTGGGCGCCACCGCAGAGAAAGCCCTCCTCCGAGTACTTACTCTCCTAAGTTATGGCTGAGATGGTCTTCACAGAAGTAAAATTAAACTCCATTTTGGATAAGGCACAGGGTGACGTCTTTCTAGCATACAGGAATGCAAACCATCACATTCCGCCGCAGGTAGAGAGAGAAAGCCTCCGGTTAGAGTCCGGCAAGCTGCCCTTCCCTGCCTGACAGCCGGTGACTCCCGAGTAGAATTGAACTCTATGGGAAGAGGCTAGTTCAAACAAAGTGGAAGGGACTCCATGGATGGGGGGGGGGGTTGGAGATTCTTGTCAGAACTGATAAAGTGAAATCTGGCCAGGATCCAGACCTGGTTTGGGTCTGGGAGAAGCAGATCCCACATGTGTGAGCACCTCCCCCCCCCCGCTCACGCCGGTTGCCTCAGTGACCCCAGTGCATTCTCTGCCGCCTTCTTTTGCTGCCAATTGTTCCCAGCGTTAGGTTATTCTCCAGTGAGCCCTTCTCATTAGGTGGCCAAAGGATCCGAGTTTCATCTTCAGTGTCTGGCCTTCTAAAGAGCAGTTGGGGTTGATCTCCTCCAGGACTGACCGGTGTGATCGCCTTGCGGTCCAGGGGACTTGCAGGAGTCTCCTCTAGCACCACAATTCGAAGGCCTCAATTCTTCAGCACTCAGCCTTCCTTATGGTCCAACTTTTACAGCCATACATTGCAACTGGAAAAACCATGGCCTTGACTATATGAACTTTAATTGGTAGGGTGATGTCTCTGCTTTTTAGTATGCTCTCTAGATTTGCCATAGCTTTACTCCCAAGGAGCAAGCGTCTTTTAATTTCTTGGCTGCAGTCACCATCTGCAGTAATCTTGGAGCCCAGGAAAATAAAATCTGTCACTGCCTCCATTTCTTCCCCATCTATTTGCCAGGAATTGATAGGACCAGATGCTATGTTCTTAGTTTTCTTGATACAGTGGTACCGTGGCTCACGAACTTAATCCATTCCAGGACTCTGGTTGTGACCCAAATTGGTCATGAGCCAAGTTAAATTATATAAGGTTCAATATAAATAAGGTTAATCCGTTCTGTAACTATTTTTTAAAATCAGAAAAATGTGGAGCAAAGTGACAAAGAACAACAAAGATCGTGGCCATCTCCCTGCCCCCCCCCCAGCACAACTGCGCCCGTCATCCTGGTGCGCTGGGTGGGGGAGAGAGATGGGCGCGATCGCGGGCACGCTGGGGCGGGGGAGACAGGCGCGATGATGCTGTGGGGGGAGGTGGCCAAGGTCGCGGTTGCGCTCCTGCAGGAAAGACGGGCGCCATCACAGGCGCGTTCGTGCAGGATAGACGGGTGCGACCTTGGCCATCTCCCCCCTGCCCCCAGCACAGTTGCAGCCGTCTCCCCACACCCAATGTGGAGTTCGCAACCTGCATCAAAATTTTTGTGACATTTTTGTTCGCGACCCAATTTGGCCGTGAACTGAGGTGTTCGTGAGCCGAGGCAGCACTGTGTTAAGTTCCAAGCCAACTTTTGCGCTCTCCTCCTTCACCCGCATCAAGAGGCTCTTTAGCTCCTCTTCACTTTCTGTCATTAGAAACCTACATATCTGAGGTTGTTGATATTCCTCCTGGCAATCTTAATTCCAACTTGTGATCCGTCTAGGCCCACCTTTCGCATGATGCGCTCTGCATATAAGTTAAATAGGCAGGGCGACAGTATACAGCCTTGCCGAACTCCTGTCTCAATTTTGAACCAATCAGAGGTTCCATGCCCAGTTCTCACTGTTGCTTCTTGACCCGCAAACAGGTTTCTCAAGAGACAAATAAGATGGTCTGGTACTCCCATCTCTTGAAGAACTTGCCACAATTTGTTGTGATCCACACAATCAAAGGCTTTAGCATAGTCAATGAAACAGAAGATGTTTTTCTGGAACTCCCTAGCTTTCTCCATGATCCAGCGTATGATGGCAATCTGATCTCTAGTTCCTCTGCTGCCTGTATTTCTGGTAGTTCTCGGTCCACTTACTGCTGGAGCCTAGCTTGTGGGAACAATCTTTGGCACTGACCCTCTTTGGGCATGTTGAGTGTGGCACTTTAACTGCACCATCTTGAATAATAATAATAATAATAATAATAATAATAATAATAATAATAATACCTCCTCCCCGAGCTCCATGGGTCAAGGTAAGTCAACAAATGGGCAGCCTCTGGGTTGTCTTTTGGGAGATGGGAAAAAGTTCAAAAGAGATTCCATCTCAAAGAAAAAGAAACTAAATGTCGACTGTAATTCTATTTGGCCCCAGCATCAATTGGACAGTGGGGCAAAGTGGCCACCTGAAGGGTCTATCGATTTTGAGACTCTTTCCAGTACAGTTGCAACTTTACTGTCAGCATACCGGTTAACAGCATACTGTAAAAGTGGCTTGGGAGGAGTGTTTTCTTGCTTCTCCAACTGAGGCTGTTACTGGCAGGGCTTGCCAGCAATTATTCTAGTCTTTCTCAGACGTGCACAGGTAGGCATGCCACGAACAGAGCTGGCTGGAGCCGGGGGTCAGACTGGTTGCCCCGGGAGGTCCCTTCTGACTCGCTCTGCTTCTGTGTTTCTCCGCTCAAATGGCCCTCACCTGCACAGGCCGTCTGCACCTTCAAGGCAACGCTGCAAAGGCCTGGCAGCCTCTCTCCCCCATCAGGGGAATCTCTTGCTGGAAGCTTTTGCCAGTCGTGGCACCCCAAGACACCTCAAGACGGGTTGGCCAGAGGAGGCCACCTAGTAAAAGCACCACGGTTATACCCATGCACTGCTGGGATAACATTTTTGGTCAGGCACCGTGGAAAGAGATGCTGTTGCCATGAGTGGTGTGGTGGCCATCCTTATGCTGCCTTGCAGTATTCAGTCAGTTACACGGCGTGCTCACACGATGGCAGCCCCTGTGGACGAAGCACCTGGAGGGGGCGGCCTTCAGTGGGCCGCGCCGTGGCTTTACCTGACTGCGTGGCTCCGATGCAGGCAGAGTCACGTTACACTTAGCAGTTTGGCGGGATGGAGAAACGGGGGGAAAGCTGCACTCAGAAAAACAGATTTTGCCATCCTGCCCCCCTGCCTTGCCATAAACACATCAAAAGACACTTCGGTGTCCGGTGGTGAAGACCAAATGGCCCCACTCCATTAGTGGGGAACCGTCAAAGTGCCATCGCTGTGTTTTACAGGCTTGCCAAAGTGCCTCCCTAACCCTGTACAGTCACACACGTAACCTTTCTGTTTACCTAACTTGGCCAGCCTGTTCAAGGTAACTTTAAATTAGAAGGCCTGTCAAAGGCATCTAATTAGAGTGGAATGTAACTTTTCTTTATGGCGCTGTGACGTGTATGCAGTCGCTTTCCTATCCAAATCGCCCTCCTGAGTATTGTATTCCCTCCCCTTTTGCGCATTCTGTGTAACCCCAAGGGAACTAGCATTGGGTCTCTGTCTTCAGCACCTGTGGATCCATGCGTTGAATTGTGAATAAACCTCATCGCCCTCGCAAGAAACTGACCATCTGAGCCTGAATTGCGGATCGGTGTGACACCCTTGTTGCTGGCACGTCTGAGATATATATATGTTAAATAGTGTGGGTGCCGTTACACAGCCTTGTGGGAGCCCATTGCTTATTCTTCTTACCTTGCTTATGGTGTCCCCCATTATGATCTGAAAAGATCTGTCACTCAGCATCTCATTGACTAGTCAAAAAAGATTTTTACAGGGAATAATGTGGCTGTTTATACAGCAGTCTGTCCTTCCATACTGTGTTGTATGCTGCAGTTAAAGCAATGAATGCAGCTGCGGTTTTTAGGTCTCACTAGAATCTTGCTTCGAGACCTGATCTACGCAGCTTTGAGTATGTAGGAAGCCAGCTTCTTCCACAGGCAGAGGTTTATCTATGATAGGATCTATTTTGTTTATGATTAGTCTCTCCAGGAGTTTGTAGCAACAACTCAGGAGGGCGATTGGGCAGTAGCTATCTGCTCTAAGAGTGATTTTTTAAAGCTTTTTTGATTTCTTACTGAAGGCGACCCATGGGTGTGCAACTAGTTAGCCTCCTTGTGGTATGTCCTGGAACTAAACGAACTAGCAACTGTTGGAGCCAGATGACTCTGTAGACTTCCTGGCGCTCAAAGTACTTGGCAATAGAAATAAAAAACGACCCGAACGAGAGATTGGGAATATCCTTCCAATCTGCCCAATCAATGTCCAGGGGCTCAGTAGATCTGTGTCAAAGGGGGGGAGGGACAGAATTACAGGTGAGCAATCCAACACAGGGAGCTCCAGTGGTGTTGATTTAAGCCAAGGAGAGGGCTTGCCTAGCTCTTGAAAAGCCTCCTCTGTCAGCGGACAGGATGGTCTGCCTGTTCCACTGGTCCAGCTTAGCCCTGGAGTAGCCTTCTCCCCAGAGGCGCGGGACAGAATCTAGTCCAAGAGTCCACCAGCACATGCGTGGGATGGGACTGGCCTGGCCCTGACCTGGGGCCCTCCTTCACCTGAACACCAGAAGACCTTTCCATGATTTATGCAAGATGATGGGGAGGCGCAGTGCACCGTAGCATTACTCCCTCTCACGTCTGCAGCCTTGTTGGAACGTTGCATTTGTCATGCTGTTGAATAAAACAGAGTTGCATTTGGACCCATCTCCGTAAACAGATGCCCTGCTTTACCTGACTACAGACTGCCCTGATGTGTTGGACTAGAGCTCCCATAGTCCCCTGCAGGCACACTGGCTGAGGCTGCTAGGAACTGCAGTCCAACGCACCAGGAGCAGGGACAGCCGTATCAGTGCTAGGTGGGGGTGTTCCTGGCCACCCTCCGCTAAGGCGATGAGCGGATCACGGCATCCTCGGGCTCCGGGGCCTTTTCTCCGTACAGATGGCACTGCAGGGGGATGGATGCAGGGTCTAGCAGACAACCCACCAGAAGCAGCTTCCGCTTTCTTGCAACAGTTTTGAAACATACTTATGTATACCTGCATTTTGGTTTTATTTGGAATTTTCTTTTTGGTGTCTTAACACTGTGTAGCAATTTCCCTGGAAATGCAAATACCCGCCAAAAGGAGGAGAGTGAAAGGCGGCATTCTAACTTAGAAGTACAAGTTTTTGCACACGTGCACCGCCGAAACGGTTCCAGCGGGTTCGCACGGGAAAGCCATCTTCCTCCTGGGGCTGGCGAGAAAGGAACGACACCATTACTCCGCCCGTCCGACCTGCCGAGCTTCGGGCCCCCTCCGGCCCCCGGGCGCCCTCTCGGCCCCCCACGCCTCCCCTCGGCCATTCCCGTGAGCGCCCGACGAGGAAGGCGGCCGGGCAGCAGCGGCGGTCACATGACCAGCGAACCCGCACCGCTTTTCGCCCCTTTCGGCTTTTTCCGGCCACCGTTCCGAGCGCCCCTAGCGGTGCGCGCTGCTTCGCCCTCCGCCCAGCGTCCCTCCCGCGCGCGCTTGGTTCCGGCGCCCCGTCGTTCCCACCCGATCGCCGCTTTCCGGCATCCTGCTCTTCGCCAGGCGTCGGCGCCGGCGCCGGCCACCTCCCCGCCGCCTCTGGGCTCGGCCCTTTCCGGCAGCCGTCGCGACGGGATCGGCTACTTCCGCCGGCCCTTGTTGTCCCTGGGCCTGCGTCTCCCCTGGGCGGCCAGGCGCGGGTCCGTCCGGGCCTCGCCTTCTTCCCCCTCCCTCCCTCCCTCCCTCCCTCACCATGGCGGCCTTCGGGATACTCAGCTACGAGCACCGGCCCCTCAAGCGGCCGCGCCTGGGGCCGCCGGACGTGTACCCGCAGGACCCCAAGCAGAAGGAGGTGAGGCAGGGGAGTGCGGCGGGGAGCCCCTTGGCACGCGGGGGCCGAGGAGGACGCCCCCGGGGGCGGGCAGTGGGCTGGCGCCGCGCTCTGGGAGGAAGCGCGCCCCTCGCGGCCAAGGGGCGCCCTCGAGCCCTCCAGACCCTTGACCATGGTGCTGTAAGAGGCGGGGCTCGGGCTCGGCAGGCCACGCCCCCGCCGCCGCCGGCGGGGCCTCTCCCCGTGTCCCCTCTCCCCGCTACGCCAAAGAGGGCGCCCACGCGAGGGCCACGCTGGGTCCCCTGAGGTCTCTCCAGCCCTGGCCGGCCAGATCCGTTCTCCTTCCCAGGGTCTTCGAGGGGCACTTTCCCACCATGTTTTCTCTCCCTGCTCCCACATCTGGCAGATGGAGATATGCTGCTCTTGCACATGGAGGTTCTACTCTTGGCAACCGCAGTACACAATCTCACACGATCCCATGCTTATTAAAGCACTCTTCCCAAGCTGGGATGTGTTGAGCCACAGCTCCCGTGAGCAGCTTGCTTTTGATCGCTTGAGCTTAGTTCAGCACGGTTTCCAGTAGTAACCAGCCAAAACCTGCAGGCCAGGAAGTTCGCAAGCAGGAGGTGAACGGCTGCAAGAACGGTTTCCTCTTGATTTTGCATCAGCATCTTACCTTTATTCCTGCAGGATGAGCTCACAGCTCTCAACGTGAAGCAGGGTTTCAACAACCAACCAGCTGTCTCTGGGGATGAGCATGGTAGTGCCAAAAATGTCAATTTCAATCCCGCCAAGGTAAGTGTCTTGACTAAGATGCCCTGACTTCAGCCTTGGCAGTGCTAATTCATGGCCAAGTCTGTATATGTTATTAACCATCTAGTTTCTCTATCTAGTCTGCTTTTGCTAATTTGCTTATCAGAATGTCGTGTGCCGCTATGTTAAAAGCTTTTCTAAAGCCAGGGTTGATTATGTTCACAATGTCCCCTTTGACTGTTTGGGAAGTTACCTAGCCAAGAAATGAGATTAAGTTCGTCTGACGAGATTTATTTTTTTGATAAATCCATGTTGGCTTTTATTAATCACTGCATTTTCTTCAAGGTGCTTGCAGACTGATTTTTAAAAATAATTTACTCTAGAATTTTATCCAGGATTGATGTCAGGTCTGTAGTTCCCAGGTTCATCTTTTTTCCCCTTTTTGAAGATGGGGACAACACTTGCCCTTCTCTGTTTGTCTGGCACCTCTCCTGTTTTCCAAGATTTATTGAAGATAACAGCCAGTGGTTCTGAGAGTTCTTCCACGTGCTCTTTTATGACTCTGAGATGGAGTTCATTGGGACCTGGATTTGAACATGTTTATCCCATCTAGGTATTCCTTAAAGTTGGCTTTCTTGAAGTCCAGGGTACGTGTTTGGCTGCAGTTAACCTTTATCTCTTTTATAATAGAGTATTCAAGTATCACATGGTCACTTTCCCCCAGGGTCCCCATGGCTGCTATTTTGTCCACTAGTTCATCCCTGTTAGTTAGCATTAAATTGAGGATAGCTCTTCCTTTCATTCCTTCCTCTACCTTCTCCTGGAGGAAGTTGTCAGAAACGTATGTCAGGAATCTCTTGGAGGGGCAGCGTTGGGTAGAAATTGTTTCCCAGCAAATATCGAGAAAATCGTGGCCCCCCATGATGACTACATCATTCCTCTTGGAAATACGTACTGGCAAGTTGTTTTTTGAAGGTTGTGTCCTTGTCCTCTTTTTGACTGGATGGTCAATAATAGATGCCAATAATTATGTTTTTCTTATTTTTCGCTCCCTTTAAATTAAATTAAACCAGGGGCTTTCAATGGGACTACTAAGTTCTTCTTGTATTTCTCTGCAGATATATGTGTCTTTTGTGTACAGTGTAACTCCACTTCCTTTTCTGTCCTTTCTATTTTTCTTGAACAGGTTGTATCCTGTTGCAGAGTTCTAGTCTTGTGGGTTGTCACACAAAGTTTCAATTATAACTATAAGATTGCAATTGCCCTATGAGATCAGGTTCATGTTGTTTGTTTCCCATACTCTGAGCATTAGATATCGAAATTCATCCTTGTTGTGCCCTGGCTTTCTTTCTACATTTTTTGGGAGACTGATGTTAGGCCCTGCCTGCCTGAAGTCTTTGTCAGGTGATGTGCTGTGCATGTCCCTCCTCTGTATGTTTCATGTTAAAGACCTACATGGATGAGAAGAAAAGGGTATTTGTCAATGGGTTATATGAGCTGGATGAACTTTGTGGTTATATCTTGGTATCAGGGAGACAGCATACTTAGTGACTCTCTGGATTGTTGCAACATACATATTTTTAATCTCACACAACGGGGAATCTCCCACAACTCTCATTCTTCTCCTTCTGTTTTTGCAAACTTTGGTATATTTTTCTTACTTGATTAACCTTCTGCCTTCTTCTGGGGGAACCAAAAGAAGAGGAAAAGGAGTAGTAAGGGGCTTCCCCCACCAAACTCCTCTGCCAAACTCCATTACCAGACTCCTGTTGGCTCTCCTTGTTCACTCGCTCCCTGGGAGCTTGGCTGCTTGTATCCCAGAGGCCCTAGATCGGCTGGGGCAGCTTGCTCTGATCGGCTCTGCTCCGCTAAGAGTCCGGAACCTGAAAGATGGCTGGCTAGCAGTTTTCATGATTCCAGCTCTGTGTTCAAGCTTTGGCAGCTACCGTTTCAGCTTGACCTTGAAGAGCTGAAGAAGGTCTTAGAATAAGGACCAGAAGTGCAAGGCTCTGATCTGCCAGTTAGGACAGTGGCATCCATTCTTGGATTCTCTTTCATAGTGGAGCTAAAACGGGCTTGGTCATCGAGAGGAAGGCAGGGGGCTCTTGCAGCTTCGGTGGGCAAGTAAAGTTTGGTGCTCCACAGGCATCCGAGTAGCTGAAGGACGTATCCTTGTAACCAGGGGATGCTCCTCCTCCCTTTTTACAGATCAGTTCCAACTTCAGCAGCATCATTGCTGAGAAACTGCGCTGCAACACGCTTCCCGACACGGGCCGCCGGAAACCACAGGTGAACCAGAAGGATAATTTCTGGCTTGTGACAGCGCGTTCCCAAAGTGCTATCAACAACTGGTTCAACGACCTCGCTGGGACGAAGCCTCTCACCCACCTGGCTAAAAAGGTACGGGATGGTTAAGGCAGCCGGGAAGGGGGAGGGACTGTGGAGCTGGGGGCACCGTGCCCTGGAAGCCAAATGCACTTCGGCTTGAGTGAAATCATTCCTCGGGAACAAAGATGGAAAAGTTTCCCGCTACCCAAATGCAGAAGGAGAGGAGAACGATCGTGGGAGGTATGGTAAAATGTGACAGCTGGCCTGAGCGGCCTAAAGTGCCAAGACAAAGGTTGCATTGGCCAGAGACGACTAGAAGAGGGTGCTGCACGCAGGGCTCAGTGCAAATGCTAGGAGCCCCTGAGCCAGAATGAGAGAACTGAAGTATTTAGGTTTGAAGGAGAATATAGGCATACGTGGGCATTGAGGAAACCTGGTGGAGCAGCTAGAAATGCCCATCTCTGGGTATAAGCCCTTTGGGGAGGACTGGGAAGGAGCACTGGATGTCAAATTGGGTAGCGACTCCAGCAAACGCAAGAACCTAAGAGGCACAGAGTCCTCCAAAGAAGACCTCTGGCGGGCAATTCTTGCCTTCGAGCATGCGGTCACGCCCCAGACCAGTGTTCTTGAGATGGAAAATGGAATCAGGGAGGCCTCAACATGAGGAAGCGTTGTGCTGACGCTCCAGTGATGTCCACTGTCTCCATATTGCCTGGCTGAGCACACGCTCCATTTGTGACAAAGAGGCCTAGCTCCTTGATGTCCTGAAGAACACTGTCCTAGTCCTAGGAAGTAGGTTATAAAATGGATCGGGGGAGGCAGTCCTGGATTCGATCCTGGTGGTGGGGTGGGGGTGGTTCCTGGAACCTGGCATGAGAGGTAAACATCGTTGAACCCATTGGAAACACCAACACAGTGTTTTCAGATTTCATATACATTTAGGTGGAAGATTGCCAAAGAGGTCCAGTACACTTGCATTTGACTCCAAAAGAAACATCTGTAAACTGAGGGAACTGGTAAAAATGAAATAAAAAGGGGGAGGCTAGAGGGTAAAATCCCTTTAAAATGCTTGGTGGTTACTCAAAACCACAATAATTGAACCTCAGTTAATATCTATGCCACCGGTTAGGAAAGGTTGCCCCAAGTCCGAGAAGTCACCAGCACAGTTAACGAGAAACATCGAGGGAGCTTTTGGAGGAAGGAGGACTTCTTAGGAAGGGGGCAGCCTTGCCCAGACAAGGAAGGCAGGACGCTTGCCCAAGGGCAATGCTGGCAAATGGTAAGAGGTGCCAGCAAGAGGAAGGGGGCGCCACCCACTAGCAGCAACAAGGAAGAACTCTATAGGGTAGAAGCAGAAATCCAGCTGGAGAGGCAGTTGGGCCCTCGGGTGATAATGGAGGTAAAGGGGTGCTGGAGCAGGCAGTTGGAGGGGGCGGGGGACAGGTGAGCAGGGATTATTCCGCCGTATCCGCAATACAGACATCGGATTTGGGAGACCAGGAAGAGGACAAAGGAATAAAGGCTCGTGAACTTGAGGAGAAGAGCTTGTGGCTATGATGGAAACTCTGGCACTAGGCTGCAGGGTGACTTATGCATGGGCTCTGTGCTCCCGCAAACAGAAATGGGAATTTGGAACTTGTTGGTTTGAGCTTTTTTTACATTCTGCCTGCACTGCCCCCCTAAATATGGCCTCTGAGGTGGGACAGCCCCTCTCTGATTCTGGCACTCACGCTCCACCCCGGCAGGTGCCCATCTTCAGTAAGAAGGAGGAAGTCTTTGGCTACCTGGCAAAGTACACCGTGCCCGTCATGAGGGCAGCCTGGCTGATCAAGATGACCTGTGCGTATTACGCGGCCATCACGGAAACCAAGGTGAAGAAGCGGCACGTCATCGACCCGTTCAGTGGTAAGCGTTGCACTTGCCGTCTGGCCGCAGCCCCGGGCTCTGGGCAGCGCTCTGCAGCTGGACGCGGGCACCTCTTGGCGTTTTCGTCACTGTTCTTTGGTGTTCGCATCGACATCGGCCCCTGGCTAGCAGCTGCTCCTTTGCTTCCAGCCCAGCCAGGGCCACCCTGTGCCTTGAATGTCGTAGCTTGGGTTGGAGTCCATCCTGTAGGCTGGCTTCTGCCAGTGTGTCCAGGGCTGGCATTCTGGACTCCCTGCTGGCCAGCTCCAGTCCTGCCCCTTTCTGCCTCCCACCCTGCTCTGCAAATGGCGGCTTTTCTTTCCAGAGTGGACGCAGATCATCACCAAGTTCCTGTGGGAGCAACTGCAGAAGATCGCCGACTTCCACCGGCAGCTGCTCACCCAAAGCTGCGGCTCCCCGCCCGGCATCATGCCCCAGGAAGTGGAGCACTGCGTGAAGCAGTGGGATTACAACGAGAAGCTGGCCATGTTCATGTTCCAGGTAAGGCAGGGCAGGGAGACGGGAAGCCCAGGCTCTCTGCTGCAGCCCTGCTGCTCTCGCACAGAGCCGGAGGCATTGTTCCTGTGCTCTGGCCAGGAAGGGCCGACTGCCCGCCCCTGCCTGCTCATCTTGGCCCGCCTGCTTCCAGGACGGGATGCTGGATCGCCACGAATTCCTGACCTGGGTCCTCGAGTGCTTCGAGAAGATTCGGCCAGGCGAGGATGAGCTCCTGAAGCTGCTCTTGCCACTGCTGCTGCAGGTATCTTACCCTTTGCGTAATAAACAAGGCAGGCTCTGCCCACAGGCATGCAATCGTTAGCGCATGGCAGAAAGGGGAGGGGGAGGGGAGGAGAAAGGGGAAGCACGCAAACTCGGGCGCCAGGTCACGAAGGTGGAGTCCTTAGGACGGCAGCTTGGAATGGAAACTCTGGTGGAAAGAGAGAAGCCAAAGCGGCAGCTGGCCTTTCTGCTGAGCTGGTAGAGGAACTCAGCAGCCCAGACTTCTCCCTGTTGGGGCGGGAAGGGCTTCCCTCTAACGCCGCCTCCCTCTCTCGTCCCGCTGCAGTATTCGGGGGAGTTTGTGCAGTCGGCCTACTTGTCCAGGCGCCTGGCCTACTTCTGCACCCGCCGGCTTGCCATCCTGCTGGACAGCACCGGTGGACACTCCGCGCACCACCTCACGGGGCAGGCGGCCCCGACCCTGCCGCCCACCCCCAACCCCCAGCCGGCCGGGGGGAGCCAGCCGCCCAGCCCCTTCAGCGACCTGCTGCTCTGCCCCCAGCACCGCCCTGTGGTGTTCGGGCTGAGCTGCATCCTCCAGGCAAGTCAGCGCAGCGTGGCCAGAGCCGCCTCTGCCGGGTCAGGCAGCGATCCTTGGGCGGGTGGCGGCCACGGAAGCCGGGCGTGCCCTCTGTCCTGGGGGGTTTCGGCACCAGTGGAAGGGGGTCCTTCGCGGGACGCTGCCCCTGCAGGGGGCTCGGGGCAGTTGCGCCGAGATCCCTCTCCCGGCTGGCTCGTTCCCTGCAGTGGGATGGCAGAGGGCCATCGGGAGTGCCAGGCAGCGCTCCCCCAGGGCGAGCGGGATGCGGGAGAGTTACCCGAGATGGTGCGTGCCGTCAGGGCGCGCACCGTGCGTGCAGTGCGTTGCCGGCAAGGCCCCTGCCCAGTGGCTGGCAGCAAGGAGAGTGCAGAGGAAGCGGCGGAGGCGGAGGCCCCGGGCTGTGCAGGAAGAGCGGCCACCATTACGCATGGGCATGACCCGCCTGGTTGCGGTTCCGCGGGATGCTCTGGGAATTCCTGCGCCTGTCTGTGCCTCAGAGGGTGACGGGAGGACTCGAGGAATGCTTGGGAGCCCCCAGGGCCCTCGCAGCATGCGTGCAGCTGTGGGGGGGGGGCGGGGGGGGCAGAAGGTGCCTGGTGGGCCTGTAGGAGAGCTCAGTGCTCCCGCCCTGTCTGCTCCCCCGCAGAGCATCGTCCTGTGTTGCCCCAGTGCCCTCGTCTGGCATTACTCCCTCACCGACAGCAGAATAAAGACTGGCTCTCCGCTCGACCACCTGCCCATCGCCCCCTCCAACTTGCCCATGCCTGGGGTCAACGCCGGCTTCATGCAGCAGGTGAGGAGCGACCCCCTGCCTGGCCCGGTGGCCGGCTGCAGCTGTCGAGCCGGGGGAGGCCGGGCCACCCCTTCTGTCCCCGCGGAGCCGCACAAGCCTGTCTGGTCCCCTCCGGTCACCACACCCTTTCCCATATTCCGTCCTTGTCAGGTCCGGGCGAAGCTCCGAGAAATCGAGCAGCAGGTCAAAGAGCGAGGCCAGGCGGTGGAGGTGCGCTGGTCCTTTGACAAATGCCAGGAAGCCACTGCAGGTACCCTTCCCGGGGGCCGTGCCCCCTCTGTGCATTCCCGCCCGTTCCTGCGCAGGAGTGGCTTCTGGCCTCCTATCCGTCCCGACTGCCCCCGCCCTCTCTGCCTGGCAGACCTTTCTCCCTGTGATCCTCCTGGAGCGATGAGGAAGCTTCCCCGGCTCCCCCCGCCCCCCGCCTGGGGAGCCCTTTGCAGTTCGGCACCTGAACCCCCTTTGCCTTCCCGTGCCGTTCCAGGATTCACGATTGGCCGAGTGCTGCACACCCTGGAGGTCCTGGACAGCCACAGTTTTGAGCGCTCGGACTTCAGCAACTCTTTGGATTCCTTGTACAACAGAATATTCGGGGCAGGGCCAAGCAAAGACAGTCACGAGGTGGGCACCACTTGGGGGGCAGGGCTGCCGGGCCCGAGCCCTGTGGCCGGCAGTGCTGTGGGCAGATGCCGGGAGGGCAGGCGCGGAGTCGGCGTCGGGTCTGCCGCGTGCAGCTGCACAAGGAGTGTGCCAGTGCGTTCCCCATAAAACGAGCCATGGTGGGGGGCACCTGGCGGTGGCGGGAGGGAGCGAAGCGGGGAGGGGGTCCTTTCCTTTGGGCATAATGCTGGAGCCGAAGTGTGTCTGTCAGTGCCTATCGGCCACCAGGGCTAAGCGGAGCCTTCTGGAAACCAGTCGCTGGGGGGGTGGGCAAACAGTGGTTCTGTGGTCCGTATGGCAAAGCAGGTGTGCCTGGCGCCAGTCCCCGTAGCCAGCCTCCGAGGAGAGTCCAAAACGGTGGCAGCTACCCTGGTCCATATCAGCCAACCACTTCTAGCAGCTTTCAGCTCCTGCTGGTTCGCATCTTTTGGAAGGCAAAGGGGTGTAATGGCCTGTCCAAGAGCAAAATGTTTTGCAGTACAAGGGGAAGCGGCATCTCCGTGCCAGGAGCATCTCTGTGCCCCCGGGAGGATGAAAGGGAGCAGGGGCCCCTGGGGGGTGAGCATGATAAGGCAGGCGGCATCCCTGCCGGCCAAAGTCACTGGCACTGTGCCCCAGAAAGCCCCGGCTCAGCTGCCCCACGGGGAGCTGCTGTCCTGCCACACTTCTGGGGCTTCTCCAGGCTCCCGGTTGCCCACTATAGGAAGCAGGAGGCTAGGCTTGGTGCGCTCCCTCCGTCCGATCCAGCAGGCCTCCCTGAAGGGAGCAGCGGCGGCCGCTGAATCTGCATGTTGCTCTCTGGGCAGCCGCCCTTCATGTATTATGTGATCATGTATGTACTTAGTGCATCTGTTTGCCACCCCCTAGCCCAGAGGGCTATCTGGGTGGTTTACAATAAAATACGGTAAGCTAAATGGGGCATTCGTACAACTGATAATAAAACCGTGAGCTCTTATGCTGATTGTCCTTGCCCCACCAATGGGCCCGGTGCCGGAACGCACGTTGCACCGGCGCCAAACAGGCAATGCCCCTTGGCACCCCCTCGGCATCCCCCGCAGGCGCCACCCTCCAGCCTCCCACGGAAGAAAAATGGCTGTTGGGGGAAGCCACCCCGCAACCGACTGGTGGGCTCAGCTCGGCTCCCCGGCTGCCCCTGCTCTCCCCTTCCTCCCGCTCTCGCCATGTTGAGGCTGTGGGGGAAGGCAGCAGGGGGAAGAGCGACGTTGGCGAGCCTGGTCCTTGCTCCCGGACCTTCGGGGCAAGGGGCCGCGACAGCCTGGGGGGGCCTGGGGGCCGCAGACCCCTCCTTCCTCAGCCAGCCTGGCGCCTCCATGCTCTGCACGGCCCGTTTCCCGGCAGATCTCCCCTGATGACGACGCCGTCGTGGCACTGCTGTGTGAATGGGCGGTCAGCCACAAGCGGTCCGGGCGCCACAGGGCGATGGTCGTGGCCAAGCTGCTGGAGAAGCGGCATTCGGAGATTGAGGCAGAGGTGAGCGCGGGGGAGATTCGGGGGAAGCGGGGAGTGAGTGGTCAGGGTTGAGGCAGGGGCTGCGTGAGGAGTCCAGGGTCCCCTGAGGACGACGGGACTGGTTTGCATGTTTCTCTTTAACTTTCATAATCCACTTCTCAGCATAACGAAGCAGCTGGTGTGCTGAAAAATCTCAGCAGCGAACTTAAAAATAAAATGAGTGCGGAGAACAAAGCAAGCAAGGCCAGAAACCCCAAGGGAAAGCAGAAAGCCCAGGAAGCTTGAAAGCCTTGTGTCTGCGGTTGTTGGACAGGTCTCCCTGCTGGCTGAGAGAGTTCCGTATCCTCCGCTCGGCAGCCCAAAGGCCTTATTCTGGCTTGGCCGGTCACCTCAGCTTTGAACATGGGCACTTAGTTACAAGGAGCAGTAGAAGACTGTCTTTCGGGTGTCTTGGTCTGAAGCCCTGCAGCCTAGGTCAGGGTTGCCCGGCAGGTCTCCGAGGGGGACCCCAAGGGCTCATGCCCCCACCAGCTGCAAGGGCCTTCTTTACGGTGACCTCCTTGAGGAGAAGATGGCGGAAAAGCCAGGTGGACTTCAGGGTCCAAGCACTGCAAGCAAAAGCTTGGCTTGGACTGAACGGGGTTGGGAAGTGCCTCTGGCCCTCAGTTCTCCATGTATGTGGCCCTCACTTCGAACCACCGCTTCGCATCAGGAGTTCCAGTAAGGCGCCCCAACATCCACATCTTCCCGCTGCGAGCGCTTGGGCCAAGGCGACGGGGCCGCAGCTCTCCTGGAAGAGGGCAGAACTGACTCTGGTCCTTCCCTTTTCTCCCAGAGGTGTGGGGACTCCGAAGTGGTGGACGAAAAGGGCTCCATTTCCTCGGGCTCCCTCTCCGCAGTCAGCGCGCCCGTCTTCCAGGACGTCCTCATGCAGTTCCTGGACACGCAGGCGCCGGTGCTAAGTACGGGCTCCCCCGGGGCTACTGGGGCCGAGGCAGTGGGCAGGCCCCTGCCGGTGGGGGGAGGCTGCCCTGCCTCGGCCACCCTCCTTCCCGAGCGCAAGGCACCCAAGCACCCCTCACCAGCTCCACCCCCCCCCCCCCGCAGCCGACCCCAGCAATGAGAACGAGAAGGTCGAGTTCTTCAACCTGGTCTTGCTTTTCTGCGAGCTGATCCGGCACGACGTCTTCTCGCATAACACGTACATGTGCACGCTCATCTCCCGCGGCGACCTGGCCATCGACCACGGGCCTCGCCCCCCCTCGCCCTTCGACGACACTGCCGAGGAGCACGACCGTAAGGAGAGCGGTGGCGGCGGCAGCATCAAGCTGGAGGTACTGGCAGGGGGGAGGCCGGGAAGGGAGGGCCCCCCGGGACGTGCTTGTGGGACTCGCAGGGGCTGAGCGGCTGCGCCTCGTTTCCTGCCTCTCCCAGGACACGGGCCTCTCGGAGTGCCAGATGGACATTGACCACAATTCCAGCGTGATCTTCGATGACATGGAGAAGACAGATTTCTCGGTACGGCCCTGGCCAGGCCTCTCGGACGAGAGAAGGCTTTGCCAGCTCTCCCTGCGGTCCAGGCATCTGTGCAGGAGTCCTGGAGCGCTGAGGGGCCCACCCTTGGTTTTCCTCTGCCCGGCGCGCTTTGCGGGGCTGGGCAGAGTGAGAGGGCACCCCGTGGGAATGCAACTCCCTGGGCATCCTGCCTCCACCCCTCTGGCGAGGCTGCTGAAGTTAAGGGTGCCAGGCTGAACGTGGCCTGGCCCAGCGCGGACAGGTGGGGGGGCGGGGTGGTCAGAGGTCCCGGCGGCCAGGCGTGGGCACAGTGGGGGAGACGGGGGCAAGTCGCCGGGGTCCTGGCAGCAGCTTGCTTTTCCTTGAGCACCCGGTGTGTGCTCAGCAGCAGGCCTGCCTCCTGGCAAGGTGGTCCCCATCCCTGCTTCGATCTCCACGCTGGCTGCTTTTGCGGAGTGATGCCTCCCCACCGACGTATAGGGTGATCCTGCCTCACCCCGTGCCTCTCCTTCCCCCCAGATGTTCTCTCCTCCCATGCACTGCGAGTCCAAAGCCAGCCCTTCCCCTGAGAAACTGGATCCCGACAAGGAAGGCAAGCCTCTTCCCAAGGACCGGGTGGCGGACGGGATGTTGGCATCGCTGTACGAGCAGCCCCGGCACATCCAGTACTCCACCCACTTCCCCATCCCTCAGGTAGGAACGACGGCGGCCCCGTGACTCGCTCCGCAGGAGGAGAGGGTGTGCCGTGTGCATGCATGTGTGCGTGCATGCACTCGCACACACGCCTTGGTGGCACTTGTTGAAAGGTGGCATATATAAACATTGCGAGTAGAAACAGTACACTGAAGATGCCATCCTGTGCTCAAACCTTATTTATTTATTTATTATTTAAAACATTTCTATGCTGCCCCCATCGCAACAAAGCCTCGGGGCGGCTCACAAAAAAAACACCTTGCTGGCTTAGCTGATTGTGCAGCTTCTGCTCGCAGTGGGCCCTTCGGCTTTTAGCACTGGAGAAGGCCATTCGGAGTCTCAAAGGATGTGCATCTGGCCTAGCAGTGCTGGAGGAGTCCCTCCTCATCCCTCCCTCCCTCCCTCCCTCCCATGTGGAAGGGCTGCCACCGCTTTTCCCGTCGCTGCCCCCAACTTTTGACACCCGGTGGGCAGATGATGTGTATGGATGCCTGCTGAACGGCTCCACACATTCAGTCCTTGTTCTGTGCTGGATTTGCTTTGTCCTTGCTTCCTTTCTGGATCGAGACATCGATTCGCGTGTGCCTGCGTCACCGAAGGACATGAGCCGGCAGTACCTTTCTGCTACGGGGCTGCACAGGGGGGACTCGGCTGCCGACCGAGGGCCACTTGACACCGCCCCGAGCAGACCTTGGAGTCATGGCTTGAGCGGCAGACTGGTCTTGGCGCATCGTGGCTTGGGTGCCTAGCACCTGCCCCTCACGCTGCCCGATGACGGACGGGCTCGGCACCGCTGTGGGGCGCGTGCTCCGTGGGCAGAGGTCCCAGTCCCAGACTGGGCAGGAAAAGCTCCTGCCGGAGGCCTTGAAGAACAGCTGCTGCAGATCAGCCTTAAGAGTCCTGGCTCAGATGGGCCCAATGAGCCAGTTCAGTGGAAGGCAGCTTCCCGTGTTCCTGCCATCCCCAGCTAGCTCGGGCAGTGGTCAGATTGGCTGGGGATGATGGGAGTCGTCCAGCACATCTGGGAAGGCTGAGCCAGGTGAACCAAGAATAAGGCAACTCCCTGGGGGTGCTGAATCCTGGCCTGCCCCCTCCTCCGCCCACCTGTGCCCGACTCCCTGGTGGCTTCCCGGAAGAGGACGGGACTCTTTGCGGCACGGGGCGGGCACAGACGCTGCCTGAGTCTCCTCTGTGTGCCCCCAGGAGGAGTCCAGCAGCCACGAGTGTAACCAGCGCCTGGTGGTCCTCTTTGGTGTTGGGAAGCAGCGTGACGAGGCCCGGCATGCCATCAAGAAGATCACCAAAGACATCCTGAAGGTGTTAAACAGGAAGAGCACAGCAGAGACAGGTTGGTGGGCAAACCCTCGTGGCGCTTTGTACTGGGGGTACCGGGCGGGGGCTTCGTGTGCGTTGGGGCCGATGGGACAGCAGTGAGCTCGCTGCAACGTCCCAGGTGGAGCACTACTCTGCCTGCAAAGAACCTACAATCATTTTGCATGACGGTGGTACTTGTAGGACTGCTTCTCCAAAATACCGGCGTGTGTTCAAGCCTGGCTCTTTTCAAGCGTGCCTGTGGGAGGGGAGAGTTGCAATCAGTGCTCGACATGCGTATTCGTTGTGGAACGCATTGTACAGCAATAACGCACATATCATGGCCGGGTTTTAAAAAACCAAATAGTTTGTTTTTCTATAGGGAATCCATTAACGTGTGGTTGTAGTCTTCAGCGAGACACAAATTACTATGGAAAACGATGGCATGGTTCTTATGTGGCCCTTCCTCTCCCCTCCCACATGAGCGTAAGAATGCCGAACTCAGGCCCAGCTTGGGGGCTCCCCCTGGGGCAGCTGGCTGGCCGCCTGTGTGCACGGAACTTTGGTCTAGATGGGCGGCTCTTCGTCTCTCCTCGTGACAACGGGGAGCAAAGCTGTTCCTTTGTTGTTGGCATAAGGCAATCACATGGGAACAAGCAGAACCCAGAAGGATAGAGATAAACTCCGAAAGCCGCAGACCTTGGCTCGAAGGAGGAGAAAGCTGAACTTGCCAAGGTTATGCTACTAGGCTTCTTGGCCTTGGTAATCTTAAGGTGCTGAGAATGACACTGGAAAACCTGCCCTTAGCAGTACTAAAGAATTTGGACTGTGCAGAAGAGACCAGTCTCGGGGGAACCGCTGCTCTGACTAGCTTATTTGGAAGACCATCTCCTCCAATCTGAAGCTGTGCGTCTGTTAGAACCTTTTGGTCTGTGATTATGTGACGCTTCATCCATTTTGTATGTGTTTTCTAGTGATTTGTACTGGCCTGAATTTCATGCTTACCAGCTTGTGCGTTTATGTAAATGAAAATGCAAGACTGGGCGGGGGAATCGTTTTTCTGCTGTTGGCAACGTTCCCTCAGGCTGGCAAGGCAGGACCCAAGAGGGTGCCCCATCTCCCTTCTGCTGTCTGCAGTGATTGCTTGCAGAGGGCTTTTGTCATGGGGTCCAGCCTGCACAAAATCAACCTGAGGACCACTCGATGCCCACTTCTGAACTAACCAAAGGCCATGTGGATTTTGCCTGGTTTTTGGCAGGGGGAGAGGAAGGGCAGAAAAGGAAGAGGAACAAGCCGGAGGCCTTCCCGACTGCCGAAGACATCTTTGCCAAGTTCCAGCATCTGTCTCATTTCGACCAGCACCTTGTCACCTCTCAGGTGAGAGTGTTGTGTGTGCCTTGTGGTCCTGGAGGGCACAGAGGGTCTGTACTTCAGTGGCAGGGCCTTTCCTGGATAGTCGGTGTGGGGGCTGGAAGCCACACACAGTGCAGGGTTGGGATACACATCTGCGTATCCTTCCTGCATATCTGTGCCCACACACCTCCCCCCAGCCACCTCTTAGTTGGGGAGGGATTTATGTCCCCCAAGGGCCCCCTGCGATGAGACACTGGGATCTCGGCCCCACAAGGGCCTGCCTCCCCCCTCCCTCCCCCCGCATTCTGATCCAGGCCTTTCTTTCCCTGCTCTCATCAGCAGCAGGGAAGCCGCATTCCCTTCAGTGGGATCGCTGAAATGGGTTGGGGGAGAGGGAAGGACTCCCTCCCCTGCCCCTGCCCCTGCCCCTGCCCCTGCCCCTGCCCCTGCCCCTGCCCCTGCCCCTGCCCCTGGCTACTGGCTGATCAGATGGGGCTCTCCGGGCTGCGCGGAGGGTAGCCATGGGGTGCGGCTGCCTGTGCGTGACGGCCCTGGGGCATCCTCCGCGCCTCCACCCGGCGAGGTTCCAAGGCAGGAGGTGGCGAGGGGTCCCGCTCCGGGCCAGTTCTCGCCTGGGCGGCTCGCGGCCGGCCTGCGGGCGCTCAGCTGCTTCCGTCGGCCCTCCTGCCTGCCGCCAGGTATCTCGCAACGTCTTGGAGCAGATCACCAGCTTCGCCTTAGGGATGTCGTACCACCTGCCCCTGGTGCAGCACGTCCAGTTCATCTTCGACCTGATGGAGTATTCCCTCAACATCAGCGGGCTCATTGACTTTGCCATCCAGGTGGGTGTCTCAGGAACGGGCGAGACCGGAAGCCCCTGCAGTGCTGCCCTGTTTTGCTTGTATTAGCGAGAGGCAGGATACCGGCGCCGGGGCCAGCTGTGAACCTAGGCAGTGCTTCACGTTTCTGGACCGGGGCAGCTGGTGCTGGTGCTGGTGCTGGAAACAGGTGCTGGAGCTAAGTGGCCCATGGGCCCAGTCCGGAGGGGTCTCTGTCGCTGGGGCGAAATGCTGTGGCGCGCAAACAGAGCAGACCGAAACGGCGCGTGCCGAACATGCAAGCAACGTGCAGTTCGTGCACCTGCCAGTTCTCCTCCCATGAAAACCGCAGATTGAGAGTGCTTGTGATGTGGGCCCATTCCCATTTCACAGACGGGCTTCGGAAAGGAGCTCTGCACTTCCAAACCCCGGCTCTTCTCCGTCATCCTGGCTGACGTAGCAAACCTGGGAACAGAGCTGCCTCTTTTTATTTGGATAAAGTTCAAGTAGGCTTTCTTACAAAGCTCACCACTGTTTGCTCTTACGTTTGAGCTGGCAAACTGTGGCTTGACCAAACCAGGGTTCCAGGTCATGCTTGAAACTCTGGTTTGGAGGGCAAGGTGCAGCTGATGCTTGTGGGGTCAGAGCCAACAGGAAGCTACAGTTCGCACTAAACTAAACGGGAAGTGAAGCAAATTTGGCCTGTGGGGTGGGAAGGGAGGCAGGCGGACCAAGGCCCTCCTGCCCAGACCCACCCAGAGCCCCCTTCCGTCAGCAGGCTGAGGCTGGGAATTGGGGCGGGGGGCCAGCGCACCGGCCTGCCGCGCCGCTCACCCCCTCGCCCGCTCCTCCCGCCCCCTCTCTGGTGCTCCGGGCAGCTGCTGAACGAGCTGAGCGTGGTGGAGGCCGAGCTGCTGCTGAAGTCCTCCGACCTGGTGGGCAGCTACACCACCAGCCTGTGCCTGTGCATCGTGGCCGTCCTGCGCCACTACCACTCCTGCCTTCTGCTCAACCAGGACCAGATGGCCCAAGTCTTCGAAGGGTGAGGCCGGGCCCCGGGCCACCCCTCGCCTCGCAGCGCGGGGGCTCCCGGCCCGGCGGCTGCGGGGCTCCCCGGGGCGCGCGTGGCGGGGCTCCGCCGCCGGGCCGGAGTCGTCCTCTGGCGTCCTCGCCAGCGTGGCGTCTCTTCTGCCCTTGCAGGCTTTGTGGGGTGGTGAAGCACGGCATGAACCGTTCCGATGGTTCTTCTGCGGAGCGCTGCATCTTGGCCTACCTCTATGACCTCTACACATCATGCAGCCACCTCAAGAGTAAATTTGGGGAGCTGTTCAGGTGGGTCCTGCCCTGTCCGGCCCTGCCGGTAGGGTTGATCGCCACCCCAGAGAGAATGGGGCAGTTTGCAGGTGGCCGGGAGCCCTTGCCTCAGTGGGGCAGGACAGCCCCCCCCGGCCCCTCCCCCGCCACCCCACTCCTCCCCAGCAGCGCCTGCTCCTTCTTGTCACTGGCCAGAGCAGGAGTGGAGGAACGGGCAGGTTGTGGCAACGGAGAAGAGGAAGCCGGGGGGACTCTAGGTGGCACCCCTGCCTGGGCTGCCCCCACCTCGGCGCCCCGTTGATGAGAGAGTGCCTGAGCTCAGCCTCCCGGGAGCAGCCCTGGGCACAGGCAGCGATGGCCGGCCAGCATGCCCAGCAGAGTGTGGCATCCAGAGCTGAGCAGGGTGGGCGGGACCCACCTTCCCCCGGACCATCTCAGCCACCCTCGCTTTCTCCCCCCTCCCCGCCCCCCACCAGTGACTTCTGCTCCAAGGTGAAGAACACCATCTACTGCAATGTGGAGCCGTCGGACTCAAACATGCTGTGGGAGCCCCTCTTCATGATCGACACCATCGAGAACCCCTCAGCACACAACTTCACCTACACCAGCCTGGGCAAGAGCCTCACGGACAACCCGGCCAACCGCTACAGCTTCGTGTGCAACGCCCTGATGCATGTGTGCGTGGGGCACCATGACCCCGACCGGTGAGGCGGGGCGGGGGGGGCGTGCCGTGGGCGGCTGTGGCGCCGACGGGGCTCGGGGTCGCCCGGAGATGTCGTGGGTGCCTCTACGGAAGAGGAAGGGCCTGCTGCCCCCCCCCACACCAGGGGGGTGGCATTGGGCCAGCAGCGGGGCTGCATTCCCTGCTGGAGGGGCTGTTGGGGGCCCAGGCAAGCAGGCAGGGCCAGGGTACCCCGAGTGCCGCCGTGTCTTGGGGTAAAGCTTCAACTTCCGGGAACCAAACCTGAGCAGAGACAGTTCAGCCTTTCTGGGTGGGGTGCGGAAACTGCCAGGGAACCCCAAAAGGTTGAGGATCACGGACGATGGAAGGCCAGGTTGGATGCTGGCAGCAGCCCCGAGGTCCTCTGCCTCAGGCGTCCTTTCTCCAGATGGGCCGAGGGTTGCCATCTGGACGCCCGCCGCTCCGCCTGAAGGTGGGAGCCGTGCGCTGTCTGCTTCCCTGCCCGGGACCCTGGTCCTTGCAGATGCACTGCCTCCGCGCACGGCGGCTCCCAGGGCCGCTCCGCCCCGCGGGCCTGCCCTCCATCTGGCGTCCCCTCCGGCCTCCGGAGCCCTGGCCCGGCTGCCCTCACCGCCCCCTCCCGCGCAGGGTCAACGACATCGCCATCCTGTGCGCCGAGCTGACGGGCTACTGCAAGCTGCTCAGCGCGGAGTGGCTGGGCGTGCTGAAGGCCCTGTGCTGCTCCTCCAACAACGGCACCTGTGGCTTCAACGACCTCCTCTGCAACGTGGACGTAAGGGCCGGGCGGGGGCACGGGGTGGGGCAGGTGCGCCCGGGGGGACAGGCTGGCTGCAGCCGGGCCGGAGCCGGAGAGCCCGTATGGGGGGCGGCCTGCCCAGGGGCCCCGGCGGGGCGCTCGGCAGCCGGCATTCTGCAGAGGGGGGCGTGTGCTGGAAGGATGCTCCCCTTCTGGGCAAACGCGGCACCGTGTCCCCGGTCAGCCCTCCCGCCTGCCCCCTCCCAGCTTGCCACGCTTGTCTGCAGCTTCCCAGAGCAGAAATGTGCCGGCCACACGCAGGGCCCAGCGGAGACCAGCCCCTTGCACTGACTTCCTCAACATGGCGGTTCACCTCCGAGGGAGGAGAGGTGCCCCGGATGGTGGCAGCCACCTGGTGCTGCCAGGGGCATTCCAGAAGAGCCCCACTCAGCCTGGCTGTTGAGTGCAGCCTATTTTCTGTCCCTTGTATTTCCAGGGGAGATGGGATCAGTTAGGAAACGCTGCAGGGGAGGTATTTTCCACCCGGTGCCGGTGGTAGCACAGAGGCCAGGAGAGGTGCGTGGAGCTTTTGCCGGCCTCCCTGGAACGGCCCCTGCTCCTGGCAGCAGGGTGAAACCACCAGAACCCAAGGGATGCCCGTTGCCCTGTGGACTGGCTAGGCTGCCTCGAGCAGTGCCCGTTCCCGACGGCCTTTTTGTTTCTTTAAGCTCAGCAGCACCCGTGCCGTCTCTTTCAGGTGAGTGACCTTTCCTTCCACGACTCCCTCGCCACCTTTGTGGCCATCCTCATTGCCCGCCAGTGTCTCCTCCTCGAGGACCTGATCCGCTGCGCTGCCATCCCCTCCCTGCTGAATGCTGGTGTGTGTCTCTGGCCTGCTGGCCTGCACTGCTGCGGGGCGGGGGGGGGAGGGCTCCCTAGGAGGGAGCCATTCTTGAGTACTAGGGCTGCCTGGCCACAGGGGCCTGGTCCAGCCCACACCTCAGCTCTGCCCTTCTACCTGCAGCCTGCAGCGAGCAGGACTCGGAGCCCGGAGCCCGCCTGACCTGCCGGATCTTGCTGCACCTTTTCAAGACCCCGCAGCTGAACCCCTGCCAGCAAGACAGCAGTGAGTCGCCTTGTCTGCCCGGGGCTGCTCGCCCATGCCCACCCCCCCGCCAGAGCCGGTCCACACGCTCCACCTCCCGCCCGCGTGTGGCTGGCACCTGACTCCGGCAGGCTCCCCCTTTTGCCTCCCCTCGCAGGGCCACCCTTGCCTCCTGCGGACGCCATCCCGTGGGCGAGCTCAGGCCGGGGTGGCTTCTCCTTCCCAGCCCTCCAGAGCGAGAGGAGCTGCTGGCTCCTCCCAGAGGCCAGTAAGCCTGCGGCTGCCGCTCAGTGAACGCTGCCAGAGGCCATGGCCCCCGGCAGGACGGCTCTCCCTGCTCCCCGCGGAGCAAGGCTGGGCCGCCGATGGAGCAGCAGGGGCTTCCCAGGACTCGAGCTGGGGCAGTGTCGCCTCTGCGGGCCAGTGGCAGTGCACAAGCCCCTTCTTGGCCCGCCCGTGCCCTTCCCGTGGGCTTGCCAGAAGCTGCCGGCCGCCGGCCGACAGAGTGGCCCCCCCGGCCCCGTGCTTTCCGCCAGGCTGTTCAGAGGTCACCCGCCAGCCCCGCTTCCTTTCGGCGCCGCGGAGAAGAATGGTGCAGCAGCGGCTGCCCCCTGCTCCCCGCTGCAAATCGCCCTTCCCCCTTTCCTGTGCCCCCTCCTCAGGCAAGCCCTCCGTGGGCATCCGCTCCTCCTGCGACCGGCACCTGCTGGCTGCCTCCCAGAACCGAATTGTGGACGGAGCTGTCTTTGCCGTGCTGAAAGCTGTCTTTGTCCTGGGTATGTACCTGGGCAAGCTCTGTGTGGGTGTGTGTGGGTGTGTGTGGGTGTGTGTGGGAGAGGGAGAGGGAGAGGGAGAGGGAGAGGGAGAGGGAGAGGGAGGGGCCCAGCCCGGCCTTCTCTGGGAGAGCACCCAAAGACGGTGCTAGTGAGGCTTGCCTGGGTGACCCTCACCCCGGTTGCAGGGGATGCCGAACTGAAGTGCTCAGGCTTTTCCCACCCGGGAGGAGTGGACGACCTCCTGGAAGATGACAAGAAGCCCGCAAGCCGGATGGTCTCCATCGAGACGGCCAGCCTGGACATTTACGCCAAGTACGTCCTCAGGAGCATCTGCCAGCAGGTGAGCAGGAGACGCGCCCCCCACTTTCCCCTGCATGGCACCCCTGGCAGCTGGAGGCTTTCCGTGCGGCATTCTGGGAACGCTCGGCAAGCGCAGGACGGGGGTGAGGAGCAGGCCCCTGCCCCACGCGCCTGTCCCCTCTTGCACATCGGCCCTCCGGACGCTCTTCTTGCCCTGCGGCGCTACAGAAGGGCTGGGCAGCCCGGGCCTGCTGTCCTGAGCAGGGGTGCTCCTCTTGAGGAAGCAAACACTCCTTGTAACCAAAGCACCTATTCCAAAAAAGGTCCTTGTCACGTGTCTTCAAGCCCACCCGGAGAAATGGCGGGCCCTCCTTGACCTCCCACGGCCTCAGCCTTCCCGTGCCCTTTCGGCGCTTGGCTCCTGCAGGAGGAGTGCTGAGGAATCACGCCTGGCCTCCTTCTTCCTGTTTCTATCCCAGTTGAACCTCCTACCGGTGCTGTCACTGGTGCCGCCTCCTCAGGAAGAGGGACTTCTGTGCCAGGCAGGCGGCTGAGCTCCCTGGCCCCACTCCCTTGCAGTGGGCCAGACCTGTCCCCTGCCCCATCCCATTCTCACTGGTCAGGCTCTGGCCCCATCCGTACCCCTTATCTCCCCAGGCATCCCCTGGCCTCGGCCTGCTGCTGGAACTTGCTGAGGTTCCGCAACAGCCTGCTCCTCGCCGTCTGAGCTTGTGTTCCCATCGGCTTGGCACATACGGACACATCAGTGCCGGGGGCACGCGCACAGCTCCGGAGGCGGCACCCCTTTGCCCGCCCACAGCTCACTTGGTGCTCTCTTGGGTTTGCCCAGCTGCTCTCGATCAGCACGGTTGCCCTGGTTCAGCTAGGGCTTCGCCAGCAGGCGGGCGCATTTCGCACTTTTGGGCCTCTGATTTTCCTCTCCAGCCGCGCCCACCCTGGCATGGGCAGCTCAGCGGGGATGTCCTGGACAGAGGCCGGGAGCGTCATAGGGTTGCCCTAAGTTGGGGGCTGCCGGACGGCGCATAGCAGAGCAGCAGGTCGCTGGAGCGCGGCCTTCGGGGCGCCTGCAGTCATGGGCTCGGTGCAGGTGGACGGAGGCTCCCCGCCTCTGTGCCGGGAAGGGCCGGCCCGGCTGGGGGAGATCTGGCGCATTCCTCCGCCCACCTGAGCCAGTGCAGCAAGCCACTAGCCGGCCTCTGCCTGCCTCGAGCCCTGTGGCCTTGGGAACAAGCCTGGGCCGTGGAGGGGGCTCTGTGCTGCCAGGGTGGCAAGCAGCCGGAAGCTGTATGAGGAGCGGGCACGTCCTCGGAGCAGGCCCCCGAGTCGCCCGCCCAGGCACCAGTGCAGCGGCTGCCACGGTTCCCCGCCCTCCGCCTGGGGCAGCAGCCCAGCGGGATGCCAGGCGCAGCTGCTGCCGGGCTCCGGGATGCCCGAGCGAAGCCGGCCCCTCACTGCCGGCGGTCTCTGCCCGCAGGAGTGGGTGGGCGAGCGGTGCTTGAAATCCCTGTGTGAAGACAGCAACGACCTGCAGGATCCCGTCCTGAGCAGCACGCAAGCCCAGCGGCTGATGCAGCTGATCTGTTACCCGCATCGGCTGCTCGACAGCGAGGAGGGCGAGAACCCCCAGCGGCAGCGGATCAAGCGCATCCTGCAGGTATGTGGCAGGGCACCCCCAAGCTGGGCTCCCGGGTGGGCTTCGGGGAACACCCCCAGAACTAGCAGCTGGAGAACACCCTGCGTCAATCTTCTGTTCGTGTCCCCAGTGCCTCGGGTTGGGAGGAAGAGTTGGACTGAGTCTGGGAGATGCCAGGAGGATATCGGGTGCTTCAGCTCCGTGGTGTAGCTCCTTCCACGAACCGGTGGAGGCGGGGGCAGAACGGCGCAGGGCGGAGGGGGCCGAACGCATCTGTTTCGGGCCTCAGAGCGGGCCCGAGGGATCCAGACTTACCCCGGCTGAGCTGAGGATGGTGGCGGGGGGGGGGGCGAGTGGGTGTGCAGGGCTGGAGCCGCAGTGAACAGGTGATGGATGGCAGCTTACCTCTCCTGCTCCCAGAACCTGGACCAGTGGACGATGCGGCAGTCGCTGCTTGAGCTGCAGCTGATGATCAAGCAGACGGCAAACAACGTGAGTGGGCAAGGCCGCCTGGGGGTGGCCGGCGGGGGGCAGGAACTCGAGGGCCCTGGAGGGCGGCGGCTGGGGCCGCTGGGCAGGGGCCGCCCCCTCGGCCCAGCACCCCTCGCGGGCGGGGGGGCTGAAGGGCTGCGCGCCTCCCCCCGCAGCAAGAGATGAACTCCCTGCTGGAGAACATCGCCAAGGCCACCATCGAGGTCTTCCAGCAGTCCGCCGAGACCAGCTCTGCCAGCAACGGCATCGCCAGCCTGGGCGGCTCCACACACCTCGTGCCACCCAGCACCAAGGCCAAGCCCATCCTCAGGTCAGCTCAGGGTGTGCGGGGGGCGGGGGGCGGGGGCGCTCACGCGCGCTCGCTCACGCGCGCTCGCTCACGCTCTCGTTCGCCTGCTGCAGCTCCCTGGAGCGGTCCGGCGTGTGGCTGGTGGCCCCGCTCATTGCCAAGCTGCCCACCTCCGTGCAGGGCTACGTGCTGAAGGCCGCCGGGGACGAGCTGGAGAAGGGGCAGCACCTCGGCTCCTCGTCCCGCAAGGAGAGGGACCGCCAGAAGCAGAAGAGGTGAGGGGGCTGGCCGAGGGCCGGCCCGGGGGCGGGGGGCCTTCTCGCGAGCCGCTGCCGACCTCGTCCGGACGTGGCTCCTCTCTCTCTCCCCGCAGCATGTCCCTGCTGAGCCAGCAGCCGTTCCTGTCCCTGGTCCTGACCTGCCTGAAAGGCCAGGACGAGCAGCGCGAGGGACTCCTCACCTCACTGTACAGCCAGGTCCAGCAGGTCGGTCCCTCCGCCCCCTCGCCAGAGGAGGCCCCCTCTGCACTCCTCCCGGCGCCTGGGGAGCGGCCGGGGCAGAGGTGGCACTTGCAGTGGCTCGGCCCCTCCCAGCAGGTTGTCCGTCCCTCCCGCTTTCCCACTCAGTCCCCCTGGGTGTGCAGCGGTGGCGACTCGCTGAGGCAGGGCGGGGAGGTCAGCCCTCCTGGAGCAGTTCTCTGGCGGTACGCTCACCCCTGAGCATCTGCCCCCTGGAGCGAGCCTGGAATCAGCTGGGGGGGGCGCACTGCTCGGAAAGTGCCCCTGTGGAAGTGCCAGCAGCCACACACGGTTATCTTCTCCATCCCCCTAGATTGTGACCAACTGGCGGGAAGAGCAGTACCAGGATGACTGCAAAGCCAAGCAGCTGATGCACGAGGCACTGAAGCTGCGCCTGAATCTGGTCAGCAGTGGGCAGCGGTCCTGCAGGCCCTGGAGGGCGGGGTGGCGGAGCCTGGGGCCAGGCCTGCGCTGCTGGCGCTTCGCCCGCCCCGAGTGGCCGTGCGCCGCCGCCGCCCACAGCCGGGAGGCCCCTTCCCATGCCGGGGCTGCCGGCGCAGCCTGGCGAGGGGGCCCCGGCCCTCTGGCCAGCCCCGCACACTCGCCGCCGGTGCTCTGGCGGCCGGCCCCCGCCCGGCTGACGGCCGCTCTCGTTCCAGGTGGGGGGCATGTTCGACACGGTGCAGCGCAGCACCCAGCAGACCACCGAATGGGCCGTCCTGCTCCTGGACATCATCAGCAGCGGCACCGTCGACATGCAGTCCAACAAGTGAGTCCCTGGGCGGGCCGGCTGCCCCCGTAGGGGCCGTGAGGGACACGAGGGCGTCCAGACAGCTGCCCGCTGGGGCCGGCCTGGCCACCGCCCTTTCTGTCGGGGCACTGCGAGTCACGGAGAGCGCCCTGTGGCTGCAGGAGCAGCGGGGCTGGAGGGCCCATCGGACGGCCAGAGCCCTCCCTGCCAGGGGGCCGGGCCCCGGGTGCCCCTCCGTGCCGCGTGGTGGAAGGGCCTGCAGGCTGTGGGGCTCTGCGGCTGCCCTGCCGCCTTGTCTCACGTTCCTCCCCTCCTGCCGCTCCCGCAGCGAGCTCTTCACCACCGTCCTGGACATGCTGAGCGTCCTCATCAACGGCACACTGGCTGCAGACATGTCCAGCATCTCGCAGGGCAGCATGGAGGAGAACAAGCGGGCCTACATGAACCTGGTCAAGAAGCTCCGGGTGAGCGGGCTGGGGCCCTGGCGGGGCCAAGCGGAGCCCTGCCCGGCCTGCTGGCTGCCCCCTGCGCTGGAGCACAGCCGCGTTCCTCAGCGTGGCGCGCAGGCGCCCTTGTCCTCTCGCAGCCGGGTCCCCGGCGCTGCGCCCGGGCAGGGGGGGTGCTTGCCTCGAGGGGCGGTGGAGGTGCGGCTGGTGGGCACCCCTTCCGAAGGGCACTCCACAGCTTTGCCCGAGCCCTGGGAGTGGCCTTCTTCGGGGCAGTGCCCGGGCCCGTCTGGGCCAACCTTGTCGGTGGGCAGCAGCGGCTGTCCAAGGCCCTTCCCACCTCCCTGGAGGTGCTGCCAGGTCGCGGCCAGGGGCACTCCGCATGCTGGCAGGGCCCCCCCACCAAGCGCGTGCCCCTTCCCTTCTCGCAGAAGGAGCTGGGTGACCGGCAGTCCGACAGCCTGGAGAAGGTGCGCCAGCTGCTCCCGCTGCCCAAGCAGACCCGGGACGTGATCACCTGCGAGCCGCAGGGCTCCCTCATCGACACGAAAGGCAACAAGATCGCCGGGTTTGACTCCATTTTCAAGAAGGAGGCAAGTGGCGCCCTGGTGGCCGGCCATGTGCAGCGGCCTCCGCCCGAGGGTGTGGGGCAGTGCTTGGCCTGGGCGCCTCTCAGCCCCCCTGGGATGCAAGGAAGGGGCCCCAGGCCAGGGTGGGGGGCATGCCTGTGGCAGGAGCTGCCGTGTGCCCTCAGACCCTTGCGGGGCGGGGGGGAGCAGAGGACGAGGCCTTCACTCAGGGCCTTCCTCCCCTCCTGCAAGCCACGGTGGGGGCAGCACCGCCAGGACGGGTGCAGGAACAGGGCTGGGCCGCTGCCCGCAGGCTGCCCAACCTCCCCTCCCTCCTCAGGGCTTGCAGGTCTCCACTAAGCAGAAGATTTCCCCCTGGGACCTCTTTGAGGGCCTGAAGCACTCTGCCCCGCTCTCCTGGGGCTGGTTCGGGACCGTGCGGGTGGACCGCAAGGTGTCGCGCTTCGAGGAGCAGCAGCGGCTGCTGCTCTACCACACGCACCTGAAGCCCAAGCCCCGCAGCTACTACCTGGAGCCGCTGCCCCTGCCCCCCGAGGAGGAGGAGCCCCCAACGCCCGTTGCCCTGGAGCCGGAGAAGAAGGTGGTGGAGCCGGCCAAGGTGGAGAAGGCCACCACCAACACTGGCAGCGCCACGGCCGAGCCCAAGAAGAAGGCCAACAAGAGCAAGAAGCGGGCTCAGGCGGCCAGCAAGAACGAGGTGAGGACCGGCACGGTGTCGCGGGGCACATCCGGCCCTCCTCGCCCGCGGCGGACGGCGCTCGCGCAACACCGAGCGGCTGCCTTCCCCTGCCGGCGGCCCACGTGGCTCCCTTGCTGGTCTCTCTCCGGGAAGGAGGGCTTGTGTGCTGCGGACCCTTGTTGGTGCCGCCCCTCGTTTCCTCACCACCCTTCTCCCTGCAGGACTACCTGAGCACAGGCCGTGGGGTGTCCTACGGAGCTGGCATGCCCACCGACCTCCTGCACCATCAGGCGGGGAACTCCATGTCCCGGCTGGCCTACGGGCAGTCCTCCGTGGGGCTCTATGCGCAGAACCAGCCGCTGCCAGCAGGTGAGTCGGTAGCCCAGCCCTGCCGATGGGCAGAGGAGGGGCTGCTGGGCACAGCTCTGGCGAGACCCAGCCTGTGCATGTGGAACAGCCACAGTCCCCTCCCGAACACTGGGGCAGAACATTCAGCCCGGTGGGGACTTGAGCCAGCTCAGGATCCCTTTGCAGTGGGCATGCTTCCGGGTCCTTGATCCGCAGGCGTACGGGCTGTGTCGCACCCTTCCTGCAGAGCTTGCACTGTCCCCGCCATTTTGGAGAGATCCTTTATTTCCTTTTTACTGCTGTGTCTTGCTGGTGTGGTTGCATCCCAGCTCCAGGGCTTCCTGAATGGAGCAAGTGAAGGGGAGACGGACGGGGAAATGCTACCCCCCTGATTCTTCTGGAACTCCCTGTGGCTTTCAGCACCATCAACTGTATTCATCTTCTAGGCCAGTGAGGGCAAACCTTTTAGAGACCGAGTGCCCAAGCTGCAACCCAAAACCCACTTATTTATTGCAGTGCCAACACTGCAATAAAACCTGAATACTGAGGTTTTAGTTTAGAAAAAACAACTCATGCATTAACTTCTTTTGTCTTAAAAAACACAATAACAGAGCTTTCAATGATATAAGCATCTTTTACTGAAAAGTAAAAGGTACAAGTTTACATTTGGTGTGCTTTTGCACAATTAATGTGATCTCTGCTGTTGTTTGCACGCTGGTCCCACCGACCAGCAACTTTTGGCCTGCTCTGAAAAAGGCACCTGAGTGCACTTCCTAACTTGCGGGGTGGGGGGGCGCCTGCTAAAATCACAGCCAGTCCAAGCAAATTTATTTATTTATTTAGTAAACTTCTGTGCCGCCCCATTCACCCCAAATATATATCTATCCTTATATATATCTTGTTTGCATGAATACTTCACAAACAACTAAATACGATGCTGCAGATTCAGATATGCCAGGGGGACAGCACAACATTAAAAGAATCTCAGCCTCTTAATTAGACCATCTCTTTGCTAAATCTTAGATATTAAATTTCAATTTTTCATAAGAAAACTCAAAGCTAAAATCTTGTGTCAATAAAAATGAATGTATTAACACAGCCAGTCCGAGCAAACATGTATCTATCCTTGGCAGCGCACTGACCGGCCATGCGAAAGCTCGGCCAAGTCGTGGCAAATGAGTCGCGGCTCGTGACGTCATCGCCTGGCGCCGCTGCTCCTTTCCGAGCGTGCGCAGGGCCCCTGTGTGCGCTGTTACCCGAAGCTCGGCCGCTGGGGCGATGCTGGGGCGACTGGGCTTGCGTGCCGACGGAGAGGGCTCTGGGTGCCCGCTGCGGCGCGCCTGCCAGAGGTCCACCACCCCTGCTCTCGGCCATCTAGCTGGAAAGGGTGTCCATGACACTCTCTGGCCTGATGAACTGCTCCTTCAAAGCGGGTGTTGAACCTCAGCCCACAGGCCACATCCAGCTTGCCTGGTTCCTGAAGTAGCCCTCCGGAGTGTGCCAGGTAGCCACACCGCCCTCCTTGGCCCAGCCCTCTTCCTCTTGCTCGCCTGGCTGAGCAGTCCCCCCACCCCCCCGCTCGAAAACGGAAACGCTTCTTTAAAGGCTGAGCGACGGAGCAGGTGCTGGGCAGGAGCGCCCAGGTGTTTTGGCGCCCCCCTTTCCCTCTGGTGCGCCTGAGGGCCGTGTCGCGTCCGGGTCCTGCGCCCTGCTCGGCAGGTTGTGGGCGACGACAGCTTTCTCCCACCAAGCCCTGCCCCGGGCTTAAGGTCAGTGGCGGAAGCCTCCCTTTTGGGAGCATCTTGGGAGATTTGGCCTACAGATGCAGGAGTTTCTCTCTTGTGTTTTGCCAGAAATCAAAGGCACTTTTAACTTCAGTGGGTTTTTAATTGAAGCACCTGGTTGTATTGTTGCTAGATATTGTGCAGGTCCTTTCTTGCTCCTGCTAGGTTCCGTGTTTTGCTTTATGTGCTGGTTGTATTTTGTCATTGCGCTTAGAAATGGGGTTGGCCTTCTTTCCGACTGCATTGTATGGTTTTATGACTATGTTGTAAGCTGCTCTGGGGCTTTTTAGTAGAAGAGCGAGACATAAGGCTGTTACTAATTTCAGCAGGATGTCTGGAGCTTTACTGATCCTCTGCTGCTTACAGTCTTGCTTTAACAAGCCTGCAAGGCCAAGAAAGATTGACTTGCCCAAAGGGCTACTCAGGAAGCTGTGTGGCCGAGCAGCTCCTCTGGCCAAACGTTGGCCAACAACCCAGCACTCGATGCTGCCGATGCTTGGACCTCGTCAGTCAACCCAGGCCGAATCCCGCAGCAGCGGGCTTGGCTTGAGGAGGCACCGGGGTTTGTCTGGTGCATTCTGGGAGCAGGATCTCCAGGGGAGGCTGTGGCCGTCCTGGCCGGCTGCTGCAACGTGTGGAGGCCCCCTCGGGACCCTTCGGGCCTGGCCGATCCGTGTGCACGTTGGCGCCGGGCTGGCAGTGTGCAGGCGTGCAATGCGCTCTTCCGTCGCCCTCTCTCCTCTGCTCCCTGCAGGTGGCCCTCGGCTGGACACCTCTTACCGGCCCGTGCGCATGCCGATCGGCAAACTGGTCCCCAGCCGCCCCCCTTACACCGGGGTCTTGCCGGCAGGCATGGGCAGCATGATCGGGATGGACCCCTCCTACAAGACCGCCGTCTACAGGCAGCAGCCGCCCATCCCACAAGGGCAGCTGCTTCGCCAGCAGCTGCAGGCCAAGCTGGTGAGGATCCGTCCCGCCCCGGCCCCGGCCCTGGCCCCGGCCCTCGCGTTCCTGGCCCTTCGTCTTGCTGCCCCCGCAGGGCAACCCGGGCCGAGGGACGATCTGCGGCAGGGCGGGGGGCCAGGGGCCGAGTCCTGGGCTCACGCTGTGGCATCCGATGGTCTGGCGCTGTTGACGGGGCTCTCCGTGTCCTCCGGAGGGTCCGGCGGGGCCTGGCCAGACCCCCACTGCCTCTCCTGCGGCGGTGGGGGCCCCTCGTGTGCGCTGTGGGAGGGTCTCGGGGACCGCCGGCTGAGCCGCCCCTCTGCCGCTTTCCCAGCAGGGCCAGGGGATGCTGGGGCAACCGCCTGTCCGCCAGATGGCCCCCAACCCGGCCTATGGAGCTGTGCAGCCGTCCCAGGTAAGGGGCCGGGCACAGGGCTGGGGGCCAGGGGCCTGCTCCACACCCCCCCCCGAGCCCCGCAGAGTGGCTGCCTGTCACATCACGCTTGCGTGACCCACCCCCGTTGGCGGGGGGGGGGATCCATTAACGCATCGTCCATCGTCACATGACAGTCTGTCTCCAGTTCCTGGTCCGGCTTAACCGATCGCTGTGCCCAGCCTAGGCGCCCTGGGCACGGGAGTTCTGGGTAGCAGTCCCATGATCTCTAGCGAAGGATTTTTGTGAGAGCACAGCCCCTTGGGGGGGATGCCGTGGCACCAAAGCTGGTTTCGCATCCGGGGTCAGGCGTCTTTCCGTGCCAACGCTCCCATGGAAAGAGACCCCGGAGGCAGGATGCTGGGCCACCCACCGGAATGGAGCAGTCCTTGCCCAAAGCTGCCCTGTGTGGCACCTCCAGCACAGCACAAGGGTTGCGGGACGCGGAGCCGCACCTCGCCCCGCATGGACCCCTGTGTCGGGGCGCCCCTGCTCCCCGCCAGCACGGCGGGGCTTCTGCCGTGCCCTGCAGCCGCCAGGGGCACTTCTCGCGCGTGGGATTCCCCGCTCCCCGAGATGCGCCTTTGGGGCCGCTGTGGCTGAGCGAAGGGCCCGCTGTGCTCCCCGCAGGGCTACACCTCCTACGTCTCGCCCGTGGCCCTCCAGCAGCACCCCTCGCAGCCCAGCGCCATGATCCCCCACACCTACGCCAGCCCGAGCTACCAGAACACGCACCCCAGCTCCAGCCCCGCCTTCGTCGACCCCGCCAGGCCCATGCAGCGGCCCAGTGGCTACGTGCACCAGCAGGCTCCCAGCTACGGCCACACGCTGAGCGCCGCCCAGAGGTACTTGCGGGGGCGGGGGCGGCGGGGGCACCGCCCCTCCTGGGTCAGGATCTGCCCCACCCACAGGTGGAGGGGCGTCCACGGCACCCGGGACCTTCTGGCCTCCCTTCATGGCTGGCCGCTGCAAGAGGGTGTCCCGTGGGTCCAGGGCATCCCGGCTCTGCCTCCCACGCCCTCTGGCAGGCACACCAACCCTGCCCTGCCTGCAGGTTCCCCCATCAGTCGATGCCGCAGACGCCCATGATGAGCGGGATAAACCACATGAGCACCCCGGGCGTCCCGTCGGGGATTCGGCCCAGCCCGCTCCTGCCGGACCAGCAGCAGCAGCAGCAGCAGTACCTGCGGCAGCAGCAGCAGCAGCAGATGCTGAGGGTAAGTGGGGCAGGCCCCCAGCTGCCTCCGCTCGCTGGCAGCGCCCCCGTGGCACTCTGCCGCCTCCTTGGCCCTTGCCAGTGCAGATCACTGCCGAGGTCTATCCCTTCCCTTTTTCCAGCTTTCTGGTTCTTCTCTGTATGGAAGGGTTGCTGTTCTTTCAGGAATATTTTTCAGCCTCTCTCCAATTAAAATGTAATTGAAAAAAAACCCAAACAAACCCTCAAAGCCACAAAATAATAAAAGCAGCACTGAAACAGCCAGCAATAAAAATTGTTTCTACAACATTTGTGAGCGTGAAAGGCTCTTTGCTGGGTGCTGAAAGGGCAATGCTGCGGTCCCAGACAAGCTACTCCGGGGGAGAGCACTTGGCAATTGTGCTTCCACCACGGAGCAGGGGAGCAGGCCTCTGCTCCCCACCCGCTTCACATTAGGAGTTGAGGCAGCTGCTGAAAACCTCCTGCTGAGAATTCAGCATACAGGTGCGTATGTGTGTGCAGAGACAGGCAGTTCCTCAGATAGCTTGGCCTGAAGTCATGGAGGACTTCAGAGGACAAAACACAGCATGTTAAGTTTTTTATGCTTATTATATTTATGTCTCAGCTGTTCCCAGTGATTGGGACTCAAGGTGGACTGCAGCATTTGAAATGTATACAAATAAAACGTTCATAGAAATAGACAAAGATTAAAATATCATTAAATCAGTTAAGTATTAAACTTGTACAGACTGCCCGCATTAAGAGCAGTAAAATAATGTAGAAGAGCAGAACTAGTCTGGCGTGAGCTCACAGGCCTGGACCGTCCCCAGATGCCTGTCTGGGCAGAGAAGCTTTTGCCTGCCTTCAGCAGCACACCAAGCAGGGAAGGCTCCAGCCGAACCTCCCTGGCAGAGGAATTCCGCTTGAATCGGAAACGGTCTGGGAACAGGGCAGCTGCCTCACTCTGGCTGCAGTTTCTGAACCGTCTTCCAAGGCAGCCCCGCAGGCGGCGCGTCGCAGTAGCGTGACTGGGAGGTTGCCAGAGCACAGGGAGTTGGGGCCTCGGCGGTGCTGGGTGGCGGGTTTGCCGCGGCCTCCCAGACCCTCGTTCAGAGCGGCCCGACCCAGGCAGCCCTCCGCATTCTCTTGGTCTTGATGTGTCTCGGGAGGGCACATGGCTTCCTTTTGGGAGCAGTGGGTTCTTTTCTGCGTTAGAAAAGCATTTTATTGTTTTTAACCTCTTGTTGTGAAACCGCCCAGAGAGCTTTGGGTACGAGCAGTGTACAACTGTAGCAGCAACCGTTCGGTGCAGACACGCTTGGCTTGTGTGCCCATCGACTTGCTTCCCATAATGACGACCCGGGGTTTTCAGTCTGATTAATCCAGCCACAAAGGGACTGTTGTCCCGTCCTGTCCTGTGACCTTTCCTGCACTCTGAATACCCTGCGATTTCCTGCTGCCTGTTTTCTCCCATTCCCTCTTCCTCTGGTTACCTGTATGTTTGCTTCTTTTGTTTCCTGTGGATTCCTCTGTGTTTGTCTGTCTCTGAAAAGGCAAGAGCGCTTTTCACATGCCCATGCGCACACAGCACTTCTGAGCACATGAACTGGGCCCGGTGCCTCCCCCGGAGCATCAGGCTGTCTTGGCAGGGCAGTGACCTCGGTGTGCTCCCTTCGCCATATTAAAAGGCCAGTGCCTGGCTGGCCTCTTTTTTGAGGCTCTTTGTCACCAGGGTCCGGTTAGTGACAAAGGAAAGTTTTATGTGTGGATTGAATGGAAACTTTGAGGCTGCAGCTTGAAATGGCATCTGGCGTCTCGTACGAAACGCTCTGGCAGCTTCCCCCAGCTGGTCACCCTGCGTTTCTTCCTCCCAGCTGCCCTTCTTGACCCTCTCCAAAGTTGAGGCTGCAGAGGATGAGGAGGGTCGAGGAAGGCTGGTGGCAGGGAATTTCTTGCCCCGCCAGCCAAGCTCTCCGGCCCAGTGCTCTGTCGCGTGCCGTGCGGCCCAGGGAGCCCGCGAGCACAGGAGCGCAGGCACAGGGGCCTTGCTCGCCCCTCCTCTGCTTCTGGCACACTGCCTCGGCCTGTGGGGGCTCCCCTCACCTCTCGGGGCCAGTGGCCACTAGGCAGCCCAGGTGCCCGAGCATGTCTTGCGCAAACCCAGGGAGGGGCCTCCCGTGGATTAGCGGCAGTTTCGGCTGAGGCTCTCCGCCACTCCCACCAGGCCTGCGAGCATCCGGTCCCGAAGATGCGGAAGGGCGCCCCCTCCCCGAGCCTCCGCATTACCCCGCCTGCTGTTGCAGTTCCCACGCAGACCGGCTTTTCCCCACCCGTCCCTTCTGGCCCGCGCTGGGCTCGCCTGTCAGCCGCCTGACTCTCTGTGTGTGTGTCTCCCTCCCTCCCTCTCTCCCTCCCTCTCTCTCTCTCTCGCAGCAGCAGCAGCAGCAGCAGCAGCCCCCGCCGCCGCCCCCCCAGCAGCAGCAAGCTCAGCCCCCTCCCCAGCAGCCCCAGCAGCAGCCGCAGGTTGCCCCCGTCCCACAGCCCCAGGCCCAGGGGCAGCCTCCGGGGCTGGGCATGCAGGCCCTCGCTCCCCAGCAGCCGATCGTAAGTGTGCGGACACTCCCCTCGGGCAAGCAGCTGCATCCCCGCACCCCTCCCCCCCCCCCCAGCACGGCCTGCTCCTGAGCCCTCTTCCTCCTCCCTGCAGTTCCAGCGGCAGGGCCTGCAGCAGACGCAGCAGCAGCAGCAGACGGCCGCCCTCGTCCGGCAGCTCCAGCAGCAGCTTTCCAGTAAGGCCGGCTCCTTCTCCTCCGCCCCCTGTCCCGGGCGCAGTCCTAGGGGCAAGAAGCTTCGGGCCCCTTGGGAGGCCCCGCTCGGCTGTAGGAGGTGCTCAGAGCCCCCAGACGGCACCTTGGGGGATGCCTGGGAGAAGCCCGGGGTCCTCGTCTCCTGCCGGGCCTTCTGGGCCTGTTTAACCGCTCCCTTGATGGGAGGGAGCAGCCTGGCTGGAGGTGGAGGCCACTTGCCGTGGGCACAAGAGGCGGCAGGGTTGCCCTGCCCTGGCTGGGGAACAGAGATGGCACCGAGCGCCAGGTCCAGGCCTGGAAAGGGCCTCGCGCAGGGCGGCTCCTCCACCCCGGCCACGACCAGCGTCCCTCGGGCGGTTTGGTCGAGGCTCCGTGGGCAGGCTGCTCCCTGCCCCCCAGAAAGGCCTTGCCCTGGGCCGGCAGAGCCGGCGTGAGGGCAGCCTGGCCTGCTGAGGGGAGGGCGCTGGCTGCAAGACGGCTTTCTGCAGGAGGGCCGCCACCGAGGATTGGTGGGCTGCCTGGCGTGACAGGCGGGTTGTGGGGCAGCCCACGCACTGGCCACCAACTGCCCTGGCAGAACTGGGGCCGTGGGCCGGGCGGGAGGGGCAAGGCGAGGCCTGACGTCCCGGCTGCCCTTGTCTTTGACCAGTGAACGACCTGCCGGCTTTTTGTGCTGTGTTGGCAGAACCGGTGTCTCAGCAGGAGGCCGACAGCCTCGGGACAAGGAAGTCCGCTTGGCCAGCTGCAGGCAGCCCATGTGCCCTGGCCTCTCCCCACCCCTCGTGTCCCCCTCAGGCTGCACCTGGCGCAAAGAGGCGCAGGATGGCTGAGAGGGGACTGACCCACATGCCCTGCCTCGGGCAAGGCCCCTTCCCCAGCAGAGTGCTGCGGCCACTTGCGGCAGCCCCTCCCTCTCCCAGAGGAGCCGCTCTGCCCCCCCCCCGGGATGCCTCCTTCACCCCCTTGGTTTCTGAGCCAGGCCAGTTCCCGGCCCCTCACTCTGCGTTTGCTTTGGATAGATACGCAGCCGCAGCAGAGCAGCAACCCCTTCGGGCGATACTGAGGCCCCGCGAGAGAGCAGGCCTTGCCGTGGACTGGAGAGGGCCGGGGCCCGGGGCCCGGGCAGTTCAGCTCCCACTCCCGGGGGCCCCTGCCCTGCAGCAGCACCCGACATCTGGGCCAAGAGAGGGTTTTATCATGTCGAACGAGTATTTTTAACCGCCACTTTCTACCAGTGTTTCCAAATCCTGTGTGATTGCCAGAGTCTCCCTTCCCACTTTGATTTCAGGTTTTAATAAGTTTTTAGTATTTTTGTTAAAATAATGACAAAAACAAATTGTAAGATTTTATACTTTATTTATACCGGATGAAACCCTGTATCGCAGATGTCCTGAAACAAATACAGAGCATACTTTCCAGAAGGGACCGCATGTCGTGTGTTAATAGATGGATGTCGGAGGCGGTATGGAGGACAGGCGAGCATTCCAGACTGCCCCACCCAGTGTCTCGCCTCTGCTTTGGCCTGCAAGTCCCATCAGCCCTGGCTGGCATAGCTAAACCAATGGTCAGGAGCTCTGGGGGACCCATGCCAGGAAATCCGGAGTGCCATAAGTTGCCCGCCCCAATCCTGGCCCTGCCCACCCTGGAAGGCATCCCCGGTGTTGGCAGAAGTCTGTGCAGGCACCGTGTGCACTTTGGGGTCCGGAGGGGCGGCACTGGAGCCCAGAGGGGTTCGACCGGCCGTCTGGTTCCACCTTCAGACCCCCAAGGTGCCACAGACCCACAGGTTCCCTGCGTTGCAGGCTGGGCCCACACGCCTGATTCGGCTGATCGAAGCGGATTCCTTTGCTAACGTGAGGGGACAACTCTTTGCAGCTGCTTTCTGGGCACACCCCCGTCTGTCATGTCCAGTCGGCTCCCAGGGCCGGAACAGGCCGGGCTGCCCATCCTCTGCGACGGCCCCAGCTCCTCACGTGGCTGGTAAGGGGCTGGCCTACATCAGACAGGCCTCGCCTTCGGAGAAGCAGCCGGCCCCAGGAGCGCTGCTTGCGAGTGCCGGGTCCTTCTTGGAGAGTCCTGACTGCTCTCCGCAGCTGACAGAGTCCGGTGCAAAGCCCTGGAGACAGCAGGGCCCGTGACCCTTGAGCATCTGACGTCGGGATATTTTGTGTTCTCCTGAGCAGTCAAGAGCCAGGGAGCTTTGGTGAAGTGTGTGGAGGAAACACGTTGGAGGCTTCGTGGCGTTTTTGGGGTTTGCTTCTGTGCCAATGCCACGTGCAGAATCCCACCCGGGAGCCGCCATGCCATTCCCGAGAATCCTCGGTCTGCTAATGCACCCTTCCCCTCTCTGTGGCCAGAAGGTGCGACTGGCGCTCCGTGCAAGGGCTGGCCGCTTCTTGTGCGGCAGGCAGCCGTGCAGCATAGCCGCAGCTTGCCCGTGCCCAGTTCCAGCTGGATCGATGGCCTCCTGGGTTTCCTGCCAGGTGGTTGGAAGGTCAAACCAAAGGCCATGGCCTGGAGGTGCCTTGGGGGGGCGCTGCTCCGCCAGACTGGGGAGGCGGTCTCTCCAGCCCTGACGGGTTCTCCCCAGGTGCAGCAGAGTCAGTGGGCTTTGCTGAGACACAGCCCCATGTCCCCCCCAGGCCCTTCTGGGTCACTGCGCCTGTGGCTGGCCAGGTTCCCGTGACCAGGCCCCTGCTCCAAGCCAGGGGGCAGGGTACTCACACCGAAGGGAACCAACCGCTCATGACCCACTTGAGCACTGCTTTTCCTGCTGGGCTCGCTCTCCCAAGTGCAGGGTTTAAAGAAGGGTTGATCAGGGCTCATTAACTCACAGCAGCTAATCCCGATTTCAGTAACCCAGACGAACTAATTGGGATTAAACCGACTCACCAGAACTGATCTAGGCTAACTATCTCAGGCTAGCTAATCCAGGCCAACTGACAGCTGTCGCCTCCGCTGCCTTGCTCCAGTCGCTGAATCCTCTCCTCCCAGCATGCAGCTTGCTCAGGTTCATGTGGATTATTTCAGTGCGTTCGGTGTGCAGAATTTTTGGGAAGCGCGGTGCTGTTCCCGTCCCTCCCAAGGCAGAGTCCCTCTTGCGCTGCTGCCCCTTTACTGCCCTCCAGGTTGCTGCTGAAGCATGCGATTGCCGGGGCCAGTGGGGGTGAGCGCGCTTGCACATGGCCGCCAAGGGACTGCCTCCCAGGCCTTCTGGGGCCGCCTCGTCCTTGCTGCTCTGGATGACAGACAGACTGGGGCACAAGAGCTGCGCGGCTGCCAATGGCTGAGAAGGGCCAGTGCAGCGGTCTAGCAAAGGGCCCACCTGGCCGAAAGACAGGGAGCAGGACAGGGCCTCTGGCTCTTGGCAGGGAGCGAGACCGAGTGCAGCAGATTCAGAGCAGTCTTGATAAGCTTGATGCTGGGCTGAAAGCAACAGAAGGAGATTCAGGGACAAGTGCCAAGTCCTCCACCTGGGGAAAGGAAGCCAAAGGCATCGATACAAGATGGGGAACACGTGGCTCAACGGAACCGAAAAAGGGAAAGACCTTGGAGTGATGGTGGACAACAGGCTAAATATGAGCCAAGAATGTGATGTGGCTGCCAAAAGGGCAAATGCTATTTTGGGATGCATTAACAGAAGCATGACTTCCAAATCATGAGAAGTAGCAGTTCCCCTATACTCCTCACTAGTTAGAACCCATCTTTCTGGGCACCAAGATTTAAGAAAGATGCGGAAAAATTAGAAAGGGTCCGGAGGAGGGCAACAAAAACGATCCAGGGTTTGGAAACACAACCCTGCGAGGGGAGGTGGAGAGAACTGAATGGTCCTGAATTGCGGAGGTCATGCAGTGTGAGAGGTGGATCTAGGGGTGTAACCCCTGAAGGCTGGGTCTGCCCAGCAATTGGGCTGCTTCCTCCAGCCTGTGGACTGGCCAATTGCCCCAAAGAGAATGCGAGACAGCGCCAGAGGGAAGCAGCTGGTCCATTCAGGCAACAGATGCTGAGCAAGAGAAACAGAACAGCTGTGGGTCTGGGGGAATCTTCCAGCTTGTTCGTCCGAGGGACAGGAAAAAGTTGCTCCACGGACCTGAGGTCCGTGCCCCTCAGACCTTCTTACTGCCCCTTCTCTGTCTGTCCTCCTCTCAACCTGTGTATACTGGGAGCAGGCCCTGGGTATTTATATATTAAAACATCTTCCA